GGCACCCAAGCAGGCCGCTCATTGGGGTCTGCAGCTGACATGGGAAACAGCGGCAATTTTGTGCCAAGGAGACAAAGGACCCATGTGTGTTCTAGAAGGATTCCTAGGTGCCGCATAGAACAGTGTTCACAGTGTTCTTGTCAGGACCTCCTCCAGTTCTGCCTGGCATGTTCACGAATGGAGGAGAATGTGACATATGGTCAGTGTCAGCCTGCTCTGAGTGACAGGAGAGTGGATGCTGTTAGCAGCCCTGTTCATGCCGGGCATGGGCCTCTCTCTCCTCACTGCAGGGCATGGCTCCTTCCGGCACTGGAGAGCAGTGTGGGGGTACAGGTACCACTGTGGGTCTGGGTGGCCTCTGAGTGGACCATGACTCTGGCAAGTCTTGGTAGCGGCGTGGGGCCCAAGAGGGAAGAGGCAGGGCTATGGTGCCAGTTTTGGGGGTACTCGTGAGCAAGCTACAGTGCCAGTTTTGGGGATGCTCATGTGAGCAGGCAGACTTGGTGTTCCCCGAGGGGGAGTTGCAGAAGAGATTTCAGGCAGCTTGGCCCTCGTGACCGTGATCCCGCTTCCCTGGGCTGCTTCCTTCTAACCCCATACGGCCTTGGGCCCCAGCAGGTGTGTGTCCTGGGCCTGCACCTGGCCAAGGAGCTCTGTGAGGTGGATGAGGATGGGGACTCGTGGCTACAGGTGACCCGCAGGCTCCCTGTGCTGCCCAGCCTGCTCACCACCCTAGAGGTGAGCCTGCGCCTGAAGCAGAACCTGCACTTTACTGAGGCTGCACTGCACCTGCTCCTCACGCTGGCTCGCACCCAGCAGGTAGGAGGGCGGCCGAGGGCAGGGGTGCCTGGCTCAGGCTGGTGGGCTCTGGTGCTCAAGGGCAGGAGCACTAGCCGCGGGGACAGCTCCATTTCCTCCTGTACCCTGCCCCAGGGAGCAACAGCAGTAGCTGGTGCCGGCATCACCCAGAGCATCTGTCTACCCCTCCTGAGTGTGTACCAGCTCAGCCCCAATGGCACAGGGCAGGTGAGTCCAGTGCCCACCCCACCCCTGCACTGTTTGCTCAGGGCCACTAGCCTCCAGATATGCACTGAAGGGCACCTGAGTGTATACCTACTGTGCATAAGACCCAGAAGCCATCCTAAGCACCCCACGCTGCCCGCCCCCCCCCCCCCCAAGTGCACCACTTGGTTCCCAAACACCAGCTTTGAAGACGGAATGGATTTTTCCTGTTTCAGGCATTAGAGGGACCAGACCAGACTGTTAACAGGTCCCACGGGGCCAGGGCAAGTGGCTTCACCTCCATCACTATCCTCCAGCCTGAGATCCAAGGAGGGAAGAGGGTGTGAGCTTGGTGGGGCTCCAGGTACCCTGGTCCCCTCACTCACAGTGGTTTGCTCACCCAGGAGAGTAGTCCTCAGCAGGACCTCTGTCCCTTCAGGACTGTGTAGCCGGGCACGCCCAGCAGAAGGAGATCACCAGCACCTGAGTAGCACGGGGCCAAACTGAGTTAGTGCAGCCCAGAACCCAGGACCTTGTGTCTCTGCCTGGTCCTTTCCACATTTCCTGGCAGGCGTGCGTCTTCACAAAGGAAGCCCTGCAGTCCCATCAGCCAGGCAGGCAGCACCAGGACCAGCACTCATCTGCTGTTTCTCGTAGACACCTGGCACCTCCCGGAAGGCCCTAGACGCCCCTTCCTGGCCCGGGGTCTACCGCCTGTCCATGTCCTTGATGGAGCGGCTGCTGAAGACGCTGCGTTACAACTTCCTGACGGAGGCCCTGGACTTCGTGGGTGTCCACCAGGAACGGACCTTGCAGGTGAGGATCATCCGCCTCACAGGGTGGGGCTGAGGACACCCTCGGGTAAGGGTGCTGAGCCCCTGGTCTCCAAGATGACACACACACACCCCTGACCTCTGCTGTCCTGTCACCTCTGTGCAGGCCCAGGCCCTTGCCTTCCACAGGTGGGCAGGTGTAGTCTGCTGGATCGCTAAGCCTTCCCGCCCTCCCCTGCTCTCCCATCCTTCCAGTGCCTCAATGCAGTGAGAACGGTCCAGAGCCTGGCTTGCCTGGAGGAGGCCGATCACACTGTGGGCTTCATCCTGCAACTGTCCCAGTTCCGGAAGGAGTGGCACTTCCACCTGCCTCAGCTTATGTGTGACATCCAGGTGGGGTTCAGGCAGTGTTCTGGAGGGGTTGAAGAGGCCGCCTCCCGGGGCCGTTCAGGGAGTGGGTACCCCAGGGAGCTGCAGCCCACTCCCACACACAAACTTGAGGCTAAGAGCCCAGTGTTCGGTTTAGGATACTCTGCCGAAACTTTTCCTTCTCAGCGAGGGGCAGCCCGCTGGGCCAGGGGCTTGGGTTGGAACCCTCCAGAACAGGCCTGAGCTGGGGTGGCCAGGGAGGAGGGCACAGGCTGGGGACAGGCAGGCTGCTGTATGTGCTCCTGGCACAAGCCTCTTCCGAGGCCTTTGTGCTTCTGTGCTGTGGAGCCAGGGACCCTCTGCCTTGTGTCAGGTTTTATACCAGGCTGGCTCTATCACTGGGCCCTAGGGAAATGGCCCAGGGCCCAGCCGACCTGTGCAGAGCATCAGTGGGGGGCGGGTGGAGGTTGACATTGGGGACGAAACAGGTTTTGGACAGACTGGTCTGGCTGCCCTAAGAGCATTCCCGTCCCTCCTGTGTCTCAGGTGAACCTAGGCTACCTGTGCCAGGCCTGCACCTCCCTGCTGCACAGCCGCAAGATGCTCCAGCACTACCTGCAGGTACCAGCCCTGCCCTACGGCTGCCCACGGTAGCTCGCCGAGGCTCCTTAGGCTCCCTAGGCTCTTGATTCATTTCCTGCTTCTCCCCAGAACAAAAACGGGGACGGCCTTCCCTCAGCTGTCACTCCAAGACTTCAGCGGCCACCCACCACCGCCACTGCAGCTCCTGTGGTCCCCTCCACCAAGCAGCCTGCTGCTGACACAGACTCCTCTGAGCAACGAGCCTTGCATGCGGTCCAATGTGGCCTCCTCAAGATCCTCAGCAGGACGCTGGCGGCCCTGCGTCACTTTACCCCGGACGTCTGTCAGATCCTCCTTGACCAGGTAGCAGCTCCGCACACCACCCCTGCAGCTGGTCTTGTCTGCTGCACCAAGTGGCACTGGAGGAACCTGGCTTCTTTGCAGGGTCCCCGAGTGCTCTCTTGTCTTGCAGTCTCTGGATCTTGCTGAGTACAACTTCCTGTTTGCCCTGAGCTTTACCACGCCCACTTTTGACTCCGAAGTGGCCCCCTCCTTTGGGACCCTCTTGGCCACTGTGAATGTGGTCCTCAACATGCTTGGAGAGGTGAGATGGGTGCTCTGTCCCCTTAGCCTGCCACTTCTGGTAGCCCTGGCATACTTTCCAGCCTCCCCAACCTGTTCTCCCCTTATAGTGAGTGGGTGTGGGACCCATGAGTGCAGAGGCCGGGGCAGCTAGTGAGAGTGGCGTGGTGCAGGGCTGCTGGGTAGGAAGTGCTCAGCAGCTGAGAGCTGTTGCTTTTGTCTAGTTCCACTGCTCACTTTTCTCCTTGCAGCTGGACAAGAAAAAGGAGCCGCTTCCCCAGGCTGTGGGGCTCAGCACCCAGGCAGAAGGAAGCAGAACGCTGAAGTAAGCTCCTGTGGCCCTCGAAGGCCCAGGCAGTCCTGTCTGCTTTTTCTGGCTGTGTGGCTTACTGGATCCGCCAGCGCTGCTTGAACGGTGCCCACCCTGCCATCCCTGCAGGTCCCTCCTGATGTTCACCATGGAAAACTGCTTCTACCTGCTCATCTCCCAGGCCATGCGGTACCTCAGGGACCCAGCCGTGCACCCCCGGGACAAACAACGGATGAAGCAAGAGCTCAGCTCTGAGCTGGTATGGAGGGGCAGAGTGGGCTAGGCTGACAAGGATAGGGCCCCACACACCAGCCCTGGGGTCGGGACAGTGGCCCAGGTGCCAGGCCTTACAAGCTGCTTCTTTTCTCGTAGAGCACACTGCTGTCCAGCTTGTCCCGCTACTTCCGGCGTGGAACCCCCAGCTCCCCTGCGGCTGGTGTCCTGCCCTCACCCCAGAGCAAGGCCAGTGCTCTCCCCAAAGCCAGCCCCGAGAGCCAGGAGCCCCTGGTCCAGCTGGTACAGGCCTTCGTGCGCCACGTGCAGAGATAGGGTGCCCACCACTGGCTGGCCCGGGCAGGGCGTACCACACCAAGACAGCTCATCCCCCTCCCAGGCACCACCACTCCAGCCACCTGCTGCTGGTGTTATTTTTGTACTTGGTCAAGAGGTCCACAGCAGAGGTGGGGAGTGGGGGCCCTGCGACGGCCCCTTTCCTCATGCATTTCCACAGCACGGCCAGGCAGGCAGGCTGAGGCTGTGCACATGGGGTTGGGTGTTTTGGATCTCTCACAGTTTTTTGGTAATACTGTGGTTATTTATACAAATATTAAAATACTGTTTATACACAACTGAGCAGCAAGTGCCTTCAGAGCCTGGGAAGACACACCAGCTTCCAGCAGCGGACAGCCAGTGATGGCGGGGGAAGACAGGCTACACACCAGAAGTGTGCATCAGTCAGTGCCCGGGAGCAGGTGGCACCTGTGGACAGTGTCAGGCACACGCCCTCTCTGTTGGTGCAGCTGGCTATGCCTGGCACTGGGCACACCCTTTCTGGATCTCTGTTCTGTTTATAGCTCTGTTCTGCCCACAGGGAGGCTGGCCTGGTCTTGAGTCTCAGCTCAACCTCTTGCCAGCTGTGACACCTTAAGGTCCAAGGTGACACCTCTCGTCTTTCCCTCCTGTAAGGTGTGGACCCCCTGGCGTGTGTTGGGCTCCACTCCCCACATACAGAAGTCACTCTTGGGGAGAAGTTACTGTGTGCTTCACATGGGGGACCATGCCGCCATGGAGGCCATGCCCGTGGGGAGGGAACAGGGTCCCTGGTATCTGCCTGTTGCCACTTGAGGGCCGCCTGTGCTGTCTGAGACTGACAGGAGCCCAGGTAGAGCACAAAAAGGAGAGTTTATTGTTTGCCATTGGCCAGAGCAAGCAGACAGGCAGGAGTATAAAGACAGTTAAAAAGTGAGTATTGAGGTGGGGGCTGCAGCCGGCACAGCTCGATCTGGGAGCTGAGCAGGGGGGAGGTAGCACCAGGCAGGCACTGCTCCAGGGCCAGGCTGATTCCTGCCAGGCTGCCGCCCCCCAGGACAGCACCTAGCCCCAAACCACTGTGGCCCCGCCAGCTTTGCTGCTGTCCTTTGGGCTCCGGCAGCTAAAAGGCAGGTGTTCTCTTCTTGTCAAGTGCGCCCTGAGATCCTAGGCCCGCCTGGGTGCCAGCACTGCATCCCTCCCTCCCAGGGCCAGGAGGGCTGGGGTGTGCAGGGGTGCAGCAGGCCAGGCTCCAAATCACAGGTCAAAAGCAGGACTGGTGGAAGGGCTGGGGCCTGCGGCCCGTCAGGCACCCTGACCACTGGAGGACAGGGTACAGTGGAATGGGGCTAGTCCCCCCGCGTGGGAATCTGTCACCAACACAAGATAGTGGCAGGGCCTTGGCCTGCTTAGCTGAGCAGTTCCAAGTAGGTGACAGGCACCTTCCCCTTCTTGTTGCCTCTCTCGCCAATGAGCCAGTCCGGGTCCATGCCAGGCAGGCTGTAGACGGTGATGAGCTGTGGAGAGGGCCATGGGCAACACTGACCCCAGGAGGGAACACAGCTGCCATCTCCACAACCAGGTGTCCAGACCCCAGGGGCAGGCAGTCACCGTGCTGGGCAGGGCTGTCTGCTTCTGGGATCCACCTCCTCCTCCCCCGGCAGACGCTGAGTCCGGCTCCAGTCTGACAATGCCTACTTTTGCCTACCTCATCGGCCAGCAGGGCCAGCTCACTGCTGTCAGCTGCCTCGTAGTCATAGAGCACCCGGGCCTTTCGGGTTCCACTAGCTGGGGGTGCAACCTCCTCCAGGCAGAGTGCAGCCTCTCCTGGGGCAGCCAGGCCGGCTACTGTGGGCACCACCGGCATGGTGGCTGCAGCAGTGGTGGGTGAGGTGGTGCTCAGGGGTGGGGAGGCGGGCTCCGTGGTGCCCACAAACGTGCCTGGGAATCTGGAGGCAAGGGAGTGTCTAAGTGGCCACTGTGCCTCAAGTGAGGGAGCCCCATGTGTCCCACGGGACACCCCCAGGCTAGCCCTCCAGCCCCAGGCAGCCCCTGCCCACTACTTACATGGCGCCCTGGGAGCTGGCAGCACAAGGGAAAGCAAAGCAAGCGGGGGTGAGATGGTCCTGCCCTGTCCTCATCGCCCCCCCCTCCTCCCCGGCATTCTGGGGACTCAGAAGTTCCCCAAGGGTAGCCACCACCCTTGGGCGTCCAGGCAGGCCTTGGGCAGAGCCCCACTCCTGGTCCTGTGCCAGGCTTCTGGGCTCACAGGACGGGCTGGGCTACGCCCTGGGTGGGGCCACACCTGCCCAGCTGCTTCTGCAGGTCCAGCATGTGGCGGTAGCATTGTGCGTAGTAGGTCGTCTGAGACTTGACAAACTCGTGGAGGCAGCGCAGGTGATTCACCTAGGGAGGTCAGAGCTAGGCTGAAGCGTGGGGGCCCTTCCAGTGCCCTGTGGGCCCACTCCCACCCCAAGGCCGCTCTGTGACTCTACTGCCTGGCAGTGTGGCCACTCACGTGGGTGCTGCTGATGCCCTCCAACAGGAGACGGGTCACCTCGGCCTGCCGGTCAAACTCTGTCTGGGCCACACGGAGCTCCTGCTCAGCCTGGGCAGGGCATGCAGAGTGTGAGAGTGAGCAGCTGCCCTGCGCCCCAGGGTCATCTGCAGAGATGTCACCTCCCCTGGGGCCTCAGCTCCCCTTGAAGTTGAAGCCCACTTGGGAAAGGGCACCACTTGGTGGAGGCCCTCAGGGCCCAGCTGTGCCCCAGGCAACTAAAGCCAATGCCTCCCATAGAGGAGACCCCTATGTCCCAGGGCACAGGCCCTACTAGAAGCACCCCGAGTCCACACCCTGCCACCTCCCAGACCCTAGCCCAAGGGCCCAACTTACCTTGTCTACCTCGTCATTCCAAAGCTGCGGGGACCACAACAGCACTGGTCAGCAGGACAGGCGACAGCCAGCCAGACCCAGCTCCAGGACCCCCAACCTCCTGCCCTCTGCCCCCACTCGGCCACACTTGGAGGTGAGGGCACGGAGTGACACTCAGCCCATCTGACATGCCACATGCAGGGAGGGGGACAGCCAGCCGGGAAGTCCCGCTGCACCTACAGCGCCAGCCCCCTGCTGAGTGAGGCATGGACAGAGCCCGTTGTCCCACCCCGGACTCCTGGCTAAGGCTAGAGGGCTGGGAGGCAGGACGTGTGACCCTGGGCCAGTCACTGAACCTTTCTGTCCTCCAGCAGAGAAAGGCAGCCTCGGGCCTGAGTCACACTGGGGCTCAGTGGCAAAAGAAAAAAACAGGGTGATCTCCACCCTCCTGGATGTTTCTCCTTCCACTCGGCCTGGGGCAGGGGACGGGAAGTGTCATCTGGAGTCTAGAGAAGAAAGACCCCCCCTCCCCCCGCCGCGACTTAGACCCAGCTATCCGGCCACTCTGGGGACCCAACTAGGACAGCGGACAGTATCTCGCCCAGCACAGGCCACCATGCCAGGGCCTAGCAATAGGACAGTGTGTGTCCAGTGCAGTTAGGGCCCAGCAACAGGACCAGGGGTGTCCAGTGCAGTTGGTACCTCAAGGGGCAAAGACCAGCTGCAAGTGACTGCGTGGATCTCACACCATCATGCTCAGGTGGGCGAGCAGGCTGCAGGGCCAGCACACAGGCCCTTGCCCATGGGGACATCGAGGGTGGGAAATGGGTGGCGTGGCTGTGACAGTAGTGTGAGTAGCCTCACTCCCACACTTGACCGGGAAACTGACCAGTCTGACCAAGCCGACTGGAGACCCAGGGCACAGCCAGCCTCCCTGCAGGCCATAGCTGTCTGTCCTCCTCTGGGGACAGGCCCTAACCTGGAGCCAGGCTCGGGGTAGTCAGGTCTCCCTGTCCTTCCTGGTCGCTGAACAAGTGGGATGGGGTGGCCACCTCAACCTTCATCTGGGAGTCTGGGTCAGGGAAGGCAGGCCCAGGCCTCTGCTGCACCTCTGAGCAGTCGGAACAGAAGGCACAGGCAGCAAGGGAGGGAGGGCAGGAAGACTCTAGGCGCCAGGGGACGGGATGGGGCTGCCTGCAGTTTCCAGTGCAGCTGGCTCAGTGCAGCTGGCTGAGCCACCATGCTCTGCGCTTTGCAGAAGCAAGCCTGGCCGTGACGCAGTCCCTGGGCTTTAGGCTCTGTGTCACCTGCTGCCTCCTGGCTCCTGCAGGGTCAAGCCCAGTAGGGCCAGGGGTGCTGGGGCAGGGTGGGGCATGGGGCGCTTACCGCGGAGGCGCTGGCCGAGAGAATGTAATTACGAGGTCTAGTCTCCTGAAAGTCAGGCACCGTCTGGCGGGGAATAGATTCATGGGGAGAAGGGGTCACCCTGGGCCAGGGCTGGGGTTGAGGCCAGGAGGCTGCCCCACAAGTGCCAGTGGCCCCTGCCCCAAAGAGAGGAGGACACAGAGACACCACAGAATCCCTGCGCCTGCTTCTGGCACTGGCCGGCACCAAGATGGTGGAGGGGCTAATCCAGTGACCTGGGTGGATGAGCTGGGGACCCCAAGAGGACCCCACCCCGGACCCTGGCCCACTCCAAGACCCCATTCAGGCCTACAGACCCCCCCATGGCCCACCCCACTCAGCCACTCCACCCCAGAATCTCCACACACCATGTCTGCGGTTCCTGCGTCGAGGCCCAGGCCCTCCCCCGATGAAGGTGGACAGATGGATGCATAGATGGACATAGTGACAGGCGTTCAACCATTGCAAAAAGCTGCCTGCGGGCTCCAGCCTGTGCGCCTGCTCCAGGCACACGGGGCTCACCAAGCAGAGTGCAGCTGCTTGCAAACCGCCCAAGGACGCCCCCTGGACTGGCCACACGGTCCAGACCAGAAGCAGCACAGCACGCGGGACAGGTATACTCACATCTCCCTCACACTGAGCCAAGTTACCCAAAGCAGGACGGCAAGGAACAGAAACAGAGAGTTAGTGAGTCCAGAGCGCAGGGCAGGCGGGATGCAAGGACGCGTGGGAGGCCCCGCCGGACTGTGTGGGTAAAGGCTGGAGCAGAGGGGGCCAGGACACTGAGCTAGGAGCACTGCTCCTTCTTGACCTATGCTGGACTGTGTGGGAGAGGGGCTGCCTGGGAAAGGGGGTGCCCTGACCTGGCTGATAGAGAAGTTCATTCTGGTGTGAGGCTGCCCTCACCTCAGTGACAGGAAGGAACATCCTGCCCAGGTGACTCAAGAGCTCATTCCAGTGGCCCCAGGCCCACCTGGCCACTGACTTTGGGCAGCTGAGACTCTACCTGGCTCTTATAGGAGGCAGGGTAGACCCAGCGGTGGCCCCAGGGTTCCAGGGTCATGGCAGCTGGGAGCCCACTTGGGCTCACCTGGGTGGGGCTGGCACTTGTTGGCCGAGCCTGGGAACTCACAAGTGGCTGTCCCCAAGCAGGCCTGAGCCCCTGGCATGCAAGGGAGAGCTTGTCCACTCCTGGCCTAGCCGGGCTGGGTCAGCTCATGCATGTGCCACTGGCCTGGCAGAGCAGGAGAGCGATGGCACAGGCCCCGAGCTACAGACAGCCCCGAGCGGGCGGGCTATGTGTGTTCTCCACACCCTCACGGGGGAGCCTGGGCCACAGGTCAAGCAGCAGGAAGGGTTAGTAGGGAGCCATGCCTGGGCAGAGCATCTGGGGAGGCAGCAAGGGCATGTGAGAAACCCCAGCTGGCTGTCTTGGCGGCTGTGGGTGCCTGCACCCTTTCTGGGAATGTCTGCCCTGGGACCACCGGAGCTCCCCTGGAGGCGGGGACAGACGTGACTGGCCAGCTCAGGCCTGCCCCAGCCAGAGAAGGGACAGAGGTCATGCCAAACACCAGGTCTCCCAGCAGCTCCCACCAGAGCCAAGGGCTGGGAGGCTGGTGGGGACACTGACCGTGGCCTTGGCTTCTGCGGCCTTGGCCTTCTTCAGCCGCGCTTTGCAGGCATCCAGGTCCAGACGGCGGTTCTGGAGGAGCCGCCTCTCCTTCTGCAGGGTGGATGTGGGGAGCAGTGAGGCCCAGGACGGGTACAAGAGCTGTCTGCTCAAGACAGGGAAACTGGTCCCCACATCATTCAGGATGCAGGAGCCACTTCTAGGTAGGAAGGCCCCGGAGTTCCAGGTCCCCTGCGTGGGCTGAGGGTCCTCACCGAAATTGTCTTCCAGTCCCCTTCCAGGAAGTTGCGCAGGGGCGTGAGGAAGCTGACAGAGGCTGTGTGGATGAAGTCCCTCTCGGCGGCCCCCAGGCGCTTCTCAGCCTCCGACACCTTGAGCAGCGTCTTCCCTGGGGAACAGGGCTGAGCGTGGGGCCAGGTCCAGGCTGTGGACCCCCAGGCAGTCAGGCAGAGCGCCAGCAGGCGGCTAGGGACTGGCGGGTGCATAGTGGGTCCCCCCAAAATGACATGTTGCAGCCACTAATGTGCACGAGACTCTGGGCTTCAGCTCAGAAAGATTGGGAGGGAATCCTGGGATGCCAAGAAGAGAGGTGGACAAATGCTGGCCCCTAAAAGTACCATTAACTGCACCCCACCACCGGAACCGTCTACCTGCAGACAGAAAACTGACCAAAGGCAGAGAACACACTGCCAGGCATGAATTAAGGCACCTCCTGATCTTGGTAGTGACAGTGCAGGTGACAATGTGGCCTGGGGATGCTGCTGGCTGCTCAAGCTCTGTGGCTTTATGGGGGGGGGGCCAACAAGAACCAGCTCCGGCAACAGAAACACAAAAAAGGCCGTGGGACACCACTGAAATGTCAGCAGCCTCGATGGCACACAGCTGGGGAAGCAGCCCAGTAGCCAGCCTGGGGCCAGGGTGGACACAGGATGGAAGCAGCCCGCTTGGGACCCAGTGCAGTGGAGCCGAGGAAGCTGTCCCAATGGAGCCGCATTCTCGGCACTGCAGACACTCAAACACAGGCTCCGACCGTTCACTGCGGGCCGGGCGCTGACCAGAAGAGTCCTTCGGGAGCTGAGCTTGAAAATGCAGAGAGGAGGGTGGTGCAGAGACCTTAGGAGCTGCACCTGCAGGAAACAGACTCTACAAAGAGCTCAGGTGAAGTCTCAAACCAGCTGGGGCAATCACAGCCCACAGGCAGGGGAGAAGAATGCAAAGCTGCCTTGTTTATCTGAGGTGTCAACATTTCTGCGGGGACTGTGAAGCCACACCTGTAATCCCAGCTGTTCAGGAGTCTGAGGGAGAAGAGTCCCAAGTTTGAACCTAACTTAGGCATCCTACCAAGACCTTGGCTCAAAAGAGAGCACAAACACTGGGCCGGGCAGGGCAGCTGCCCAGCACACACAAGGCCTGGGTTCTGCTATTACAACTGCAGGGAATACGATGAGACACAGAAAGATGCAAGGGAGTGGGTCCACAGAGAAGGGAGAAAAGGAACCAATAGACACCACAGCGACAGAACTAACAGAAAGTGTGACGGTGATGTATCGTCAGAACAAGAACATCAGTAAAGCGACATCATTTTAAAAACAAACAGACGGACAAACAGAAGAAGCCCTAAGGTGGAACAGTGTAATAACGGAGATGAGAAATCCACTAGAGGGGCTCAGCATTGCATCTAAACTGCAGAAGGAAACCGTCAGCCACTTTGGATACAGCATTAACAGTTACTCAGTGCAGAAAACAGATGATCAGAAAGAAAAACGATCAAAAGGAAAACAAAGTCTCAGAAATCCCTGAGACGGGACTTGGGAATGGCATCAGAGCCTCCAAATTTGTGTGAGGGAAGCACTACAAGTCCCAACCTGCTGGGTGTCTGATTCACCAACTTCATGTTCTCTAGGACGGAAGAACGAATTCCAGGAACAACGGAGATGAAGAGGGGGAATATTTGGGCTCGGACACAGCTCCATGGTGTAAGTGCCTACACCTGGCAAGTGCAAGGTCGTGAGTTTGATCCCCAGGACAAAAAAACAAGAGCAGGAAATACTGATTGAGAAAGCTCCTGCCAGAAGGACAGGCAGGGATACCCAGAAGGCGAGCTGCCACTTCTCAGGGGAAGTTTTATAAAGCACAACCATGTGGGTACACTGTGGGTTACCAGCTACGACTGACCAGTAAGATAGCAATGACACTGGTCCGATGGGGGAAGCAAGTCCCATGCTGAGTAGGCACCGGGAGATCAAAGGACCCTCAGGTTGGAAAGATTTTCAAGTCATCGGTGGTGGGGCGGGTCTTCGCTGGACCTGTTGTTACCTGTCACTTACCTCATCCCTGGGGAGTAAGCAGGCCTGGTCCTTTTGTTGCTGTCTGGAGGCCTGGCCCCCCACTGACATGTCCCTGGCCACAGTCACCATGCAGTTTTACCTTCTGTCCTGACTGGGAGCGGGGCCCAGCCCACAGGATTCCTACCTAACGCAGGTGTGATGACTCCAGTAAATGAACCAGCAATTGAGAAACAGGAATCCCAGGAAAGGGGAGAAAAAAATATTGAAGATACAGTGCCCCAAACATTCTGAATCACAGAAAACATGAACATACATATCAAGAAATTCATGATTTTAAATAGAGGGAAAAAGAAAACAGAAAAGGTCCACACTTGTGGCGTCATGAATTATTACAAGACAAAGACAAAAAGCCCTGAACCCGATGAGAGAAAAACAATTCAACCATGGCAGCGCACTGTAAGGTTAGCAATTTATTTCTCACAGAAATCACGGGAGCCAGACAGCAGGCAGACTGCGTAACCGTAGGGAAGGAAGCAAGCTCACCCGAGAAGGCAGAAAAAGGCACTGTCAGATAAAAAGCTCCTTGGTAGTAAACACAGTAGAGAAATCCTTCAACTTGGGCTAGGCCGCGGTGGCACACGCCTAGAATCCCAGCACTCGAGAAGCTGAGGCAGGAGGGTCATGATCTGTGATGAGACCCCAGCCGGCTGCAGCCGAGGTTAATCCTGAGCTAAGATGCAGTACTGGCCCCTCACAGATGACAACCTCAGAGGGGGACTGTGGACTCTCACTGGCCTCCCAGCTCAGCAGCTGCAGTGGCAGATGAAGAGGTTAACCAGTTAGCCACGATGCATTCCTGCCTGCTTTGCGCAAAAATGCTTTGTGCTGTCCTTGAGCCCCTCACTTCCTGGAGCCTCCAACACAAACCCCACGTCAACACTGGGGTCTGGAGGCAGGGGTCTGAGTCCTCCTTGTGGCTCTGAACATCCAGTTCCCCTTTGTAACTAAAATATATCTCTTTTTTTTTTCTTTCGGTACAGGGGATCGAACTCACAACTGCCTGCTTGCAAAGCAGGTGCTTATGCCACTGAGCTAAATTCCCCAGTCCCTAAAATATATCTGTTGTCCGTGTCTTTTTCAGTGTCACACCCCTGAGAGTAGAGAAGACCGGTGCTGAGCTACACACTGAGACCCTAACTCAAAAAACAGGAAAGAAATTCAAGTTCAAAGGCAATGACATGACATATACCCTGAATCTATAAAGAGCAATTAATTACAGTTGAACATGAAAAATGATAGAATTGTCTCTTCTATTAACTGACCTGCCTGCATGAAAGCACACTATAAAACTTGTTGGCTCTGAAACTCAGATGACAGTAACAGCACAGAGAAAGGACGAGAGAAGGTGGCTGTATGGCAGCAGTTTCCAGTTTTCTCTGGAAGTTAATTAGCACAGCTTAGTAGACTGTGTAAGTTAAAACTCATACTGTACTCCCTAGAATAATCACTAAGAAAACTTTAAGCACCTGCCTGACAAGCAAGAGGCCCTGAGTTCAATTCTAGTTACTAAAAACAAAACCAAAAAGAAATTTAAATGTTACACTAGAAAATATAACACAAAACAAGACAGTAAAGGAGAAGGCAGAATGAAAACGATCTCTAAATGCTAAAGAAAACAGTAGCATAGTGTGCATGTAAATCCAACCACATCAAGGATTGCATTAAATATAAATGGGCCAGCACACTAGTCAAAAGGCAGTGCTGGAGCTGGGCACGGTGGCAGAGGCCTGTGATCCCAGCACAAGGGAGGCACAGTCAGGAGGATGGCTGGGAGGGAGGCCACCTTGAACTACATGGCAAAACTGTCTCAAAAAACAAAACGAACCAAAAAAAAAAAAGCAGTGCCTGTCAGAATGGATTTGTTCTTATTTACAGGCATGGGGGTACATGCCTGTAATTCCAGCACTGGTAGGCGGAAGCAGGAAGATCAGCATGAGTTTGAGGCCAACAGACTACAGTGGGAACCCCATCTCAACACCCTCCCCCCCAAATGACACTAGGTGAAAGAAGCTGGGTGCAAATGACAGCTATAATGATCTATTATAATGATCTATTTACAGGAAAGACAAACTTCTAGAGAACACAGCACACCAGTGGTTGGCTGGAGGTGGAACAGGAATTGACTATAAAATAGGATTGTAGAGATATTTGTGAAACTCCATACATTTACTAAAAACCACTGAACTATACGTTTATTTTTAGTGTACATCTGATAGCATGTAAGTTTACACTTCCAACAAATTAAGAAACCGAAGGACTAAGGCAGGGATGGCTCTGGCCGGGCTGCTGTGGGTTGACACCTGCAGTGCATGGCCAAGGCACTCGCGGCCCCAGTAACACTCCAGGCTGGGGTGCAGTTCAATGAATGCTCACTCTGGGCTGCATCCCTAGCACCCCCAAAACCCTCACAAATTCATACAAGTCAAACTGATTATGTGAGGACCAGATGGCTTCCCCCGCCCCCCATTCTGTAATGATAGAGATTTTTACAATTTGAGTTATTTTTTTGAGACACGGTCTTGCTGTGTGGTTTAGGCTGTCCTTGAACTTACTATGTAGCCCAGGCTGGCTTTGCATCTGTGGTGATCCTCCTGCCTCAGCCTCCTGAGTGCTGGGATTACAGGCATGTGCTACTGTGTGCGGCTTTACAGTTAAAATGAATTCAGGTATCATTTATATGTTTTTTTTTTTTTTCCATCCCATCCGGGAGTTATTTTTATATGTTTTTTTTTAAAGTAAAGAAAGGGAAGAAGGAAAGAAGGAAGCCACAGGAGAAAGGAAGAAAGGCCAGCGAAACTCAGGGCCAGGGCCAGCCCCAGCCCCAGCCCCCAACCGGTGTGAGGCCACTCACCATAGGGTGTGGTAGCCCCCAGCTCGCTGGCCGCCTCAGCCATGTATTGGGCCAGCAGCTCCCCATTGGTGACCCTGGAGGGCACCTTCCTGTCCAGTTTCTCATACAGGAACTCCTCCACGCGGGCACCTGTGGGGACATAGCAGCCAAAGCCACAGGGCTCTCTGGCCCAGCTGGGGACTCCCAGAACAATCTCCCCTGCGCCCATCTTCATCCCACAGGAGGAAGCCACAGCTCGGAGACACAGGTGCCTGCTCGAAGTCATACAGTGGGAGGAGAAGGGGGCTGATGGGACCCAAGTCAGGACTTTCCACTTCCCCCACACAGACAAGGTTTATGGAGCACGGTCTGTGTCTGATCCCAGGAGCCCTTGGGACCTGTCAGCCATAGGGCAGAGTGACGACAGACCAGCAATGGCCTTGGCCCTGGCCAGACCCTTGTGACAGGGTGTGCCTGCCTCTCCTCTGTGTCCGCATCCACACACTTCACCTCCTCAGGTGAGACCTGGCACTTCCCTGAGCCAGGAGCCTCCGGCCCAGCACCAGGGCTCGCCTGTGTTTCCCAGGGCGCTGTGCCCCCACTCACTGGGGTTGGGCTGCAGCAGCACCTCTGTCTGCCGCAAGATGCGCTCAGTCCAGTTCTTGGTGCTGTCCGCCCGTGCCAGGAGCGTTTCAAAGTGGGCATCGAGCTCAGTCTTCTCAGCCTGGCCGAACTTCTCCTCCGTGAACTGTGGGTTGGGGCAAGGAGCCGGGATCAGGTCAAGGACCCTTCTGGGCCAGCGAAGGGACAGTCCTTCTAAGGTTCCGACTGCCCTCCATGGAGGCAGGTGGGCCTGAGGGTGGGGGTCACAGCTTCTCCAGGTCCAGCAGCAGCCCCACCTCTCCCTCCACACTCTTCCCAGCAGCTGGGCACCTCTAGGGCCCTTCAGGCAGGGCGCTTGGGAAGCCACCTATAGGGCCCTAGAGGCCTGACAGGGACAGGCATTGGCAGCAAGAGTGCAGGGGACAGATGGGACACAGAGCAAGGTCCAGGCCTATCTGGGCTCCATGGGCAGCTGGGAGCCCGAGAGGGGGCCTGGCTTGGAGCCCTGGCTGCCTGCGAGATGGGGCTGCTGCTCCAGGCCCTGGGCAGAAGCCTGGGGATAAGGGGAGTGGTGGAGAGGGCTCCTTGCTTGGCTACTGGGTGTGGTGGCTGGAGGACATGGCCAGCCCATCAGAGTCAGCCTCTGGGAACACAGAGCAGCCAAGAGGGCCATCTAGAAACACCCAGAAATGGGCCTGCCTCTTGGTCCCCCTGATCTAGAAAGGTCCTGGAACCAACTGTTCCCATTTCACAAACAGGGACACCTAGGCTTTGGCCAGGTCAGGGAACAGGGCTTGCTCAAGGTCATAGCTGGACAGTGAAAGGGCAAAGACCTCAGGTGTAAGATAAGGATGGAGTAACAAGGACCCTGTGGCTGGCCCTGGGCTGGGGGCATCACACCCAGAACTCGGGGACTTCCAAAAGCAGAGGGTCACTGTCCCATTTCTGGGATGTGGCTACTGAGCCTGAGCCTGGCCAGCACACGGGGGCTGGAGCCCTCAGAGAGGCAAAGCCACTTGGCAGTGATGAGTCATCACAGGCTGCAGGACAGACAGCCTCACTGCCACGGTGCTCAAGGCATCAATTATGTAGCAGGCTGGGCTTGCATTTCTCCCTGAAGGCTCAGTGGGCCTCAGCTGCCTCCTCTCCTTCACAGCCCCCAAACTGGGGCAGAAGGGGGGTCTCAGGCCACCTCTGCCTGGGGACCTGGCACAGTGCCCTATTCTAGGTGTCAGAAAGTCACCTCTGTGCCCTCAGTTTACCCTTAAAGTGTGCAGCTAGATCAGCACCCTCTCTGGGCTTCATCAACAGTGGGCTTTGTTTTTGTTTGCTTTTTGAGGCAGGGTCTCTGTAGTTCAGGCTGGCCTGGAACTTGCTTATGTAACCTGGGCTGGCATATAGTGACCCTCCTGCCTCTGCCTCCTGAGTTCTGGGGTGACAAGAGTATAGCAGCATGCTCAGCTGATCAATGGTTTGTCTTCGCTCTCTTGCAGGGCTGGTGATGCAAGCCAGGGCCTCATACATGCTGGTGAACGCTCCCCACTGAGCTGCTGGTGAATGGTAGCTGGTGTTACCCTTGCCCGGAATCTCTGGCCCTTGAAAGCTACCCTATGGCGTGATGAGTCACACTAACATGCACCTCAGCCCCTGAGATCCATACCCATCAGGCCACCAGGCCCTCAGCTTCTGGCCCTCGCTGGCTCTCCTGCCCCCTCTGCCCCATCAAGAGGACAGCAGTCTCTCTTGCTCTTCCTGTAGGCTGCTGTGGCTGCCACCTCCAGCAGTGCAAGGCCTTCAGTTCCCGCCAACAGCACCATGGCCGGCCGCCAGCTCCTGCCCCTAGGTGTCCCAGCTGAACCTGCTCTGGGTTCCTCTGCCTTGTTGCCCTAAACTAGGCCACTCTGGCACCCCGAAATACCCCCTACCATCCAGGCCCAACTCCAGGCCTCCCAAGGGGTCCTGCCCTCCAGCGCCTCCTAGTCCCTGGTCCTGCAGCACCAACCCCTAGGAAGACCACACACAAAATACTAAAGCATCCGTGGCCAGACGATGGGGTGCACCCTTGTGATCCCAGCACTAGGGAGGCTCAACCAGGGCTACGTATCTAGATCCTGCCTCAAAAAAACCAACAAAACCAAACCAAATACTGAAGAAGCCCTCCAGGCCTGCAGACTCACTGCTTCTCTCTGGTCCCCAGGCAGGTCCATGCTGCCCTCTCCTGCCAGACCACATTCCAGACCTCTATCCCCTCTGGCCAGCCACCTTGTTTGGCTCCTGTTAAGGCTGCTCCCAGCAAGGAGGTGGCAGCAGGGGGTGGGCGGGCAGAGCAGAAGAGAAGGAGAAAGCCTCTATTTATATGGCACCCAACTCCCTCCTCCACCGGCCAGCCGCCTGCCAGTCCCAGCAGCCTGGGCCTTGGTGCTGGCTGCCCTCCAGCAGGGACCCTGGGGCGGCTGTTGGCCCCAGCAGGCAGAGCAAGGCCACAGCCCCAGGTCTGGTGGCAGGGCCCAGGTGGCAGCAGGAAAGTGGCAGATCAGGTTCTTCTCCCCTCCATGTGGGAGATAAGCAGTTGCCATACCAACCGGGAGGCCTCCCCCACCAGCCCAGCTGGGCTGGGATCTGGGTTCCCCTACAACTTGCCAGGGCTGGGGTTGCTCCCCAGGCTCACAACAAGGGGCGGGGAGTCTCTCAGGGAGCTGTGCTCTCTCTTGGGAACATGAGTTCCTCAAGGGGACACTGCGCTTTCTAGTAAACACGGCCACATGGGCTTCTAGTCTCCTCCGTTGTCAACAACAGGACTGCTCCCCTGAGCCCAGCAGGCCTGCGCCTCCTTCCCAGAGGTAGGGAGGGAAGGGACTTGGCCAAGGTCACATATGGTGCCGTTGTGGGGTCACCCATCAGGAGCTGCCTGTGATGAGCACAGTGTGCAGAGTCCACAAGTTCTCCTGCCCATCTTGGACGTGGAGAGACTCACCCCACTTCTCAGATGGAAAACCGAAGCCCTAGCAAGACGCAGCCCCTCTCCCAAGGTCACAGGACGGGCATCACACCATATCTGACTCAGGTGTTCCTGATGACATCAAGCCCCTCGGCTTCTCCTCCCTCACCCCAAAAGGATGCACTGGTTCCAATCTCAGCATTAAGGTCTGGGCGGCTTCCCAAGGAGGGCGCCCTCTCTCCCCATTCCTAGGGAAGCAGAAGAAACTGGCCCCCCGGAGGAGAAAGGAGACAACTCCTGGCTTCCGGCAGGATCATCTAAGTGAGCAAAAGGGACGCAGGGAGCACAGAACCATCAGCCCATTGTAGAGTGGGGAAGACTGAGGATATGGGAAAGGGTTGCAGGGGGTGTACGGTCCCTGGGTCTGGACCCAGGCCTCCAAACGTCCCGCGGGGCCAGGAGCGCTGCCGGGCAACGGCAGGGAGGCAAGGCCGGGGCCGTGGGTCAGCCTGGGAGTCTAGATGCGGGCGCCGCACCTCTCCCCTGCCCGGGGCAGAATCTGAGCCACGCAGAGGTAGCGGGAGGTTAGGGCGCCCCCCTACTTCCGATCTCGCACCCCTTCCCGGGAGCGCCCCCAATTGCTGGGCGCCCCGCACGGTGGCGGCGCAGCAGCGCGAGGATCCCCGCGTCCCCAGGCCCCGGGAGCGCCCGCCGCGCCCACATCCGGGCACCGGCGCCAGGCCTCACCTGCACCGCGCGAGTGAAGAAGATGCCCGCGTCCGACGCCAGCTTCTTCATGTTGAAGTCCATGGCGCGCCCGCCACACACGCGCACGCACGGCCGCCCCGCCGCGGGCCCGAGTACAGCCCGCAGCCCGCAGCCCCGGCCCCGCCGCACCGCGCCGCACCCGCGCCCGCACCCGCCCACCTGCTGCCGCCGCCGCCGCCGGGTCCCTGCGCGGAACGGGGCGGGGCGGGGCGGGGCGGGGCGGGAGGAGCCTCAGGGTGGGCGGAGCCTGCGGGACCCGCGGCCGTGCTTACTGCTGCCCCCTGCCGGCCTCTGCCGGCACCACAGGCTGACCTGCTTCCTAGCCCTCGCGGGCGTAAGGCCCGAGGGAGGAGAACATGCAAGCCGCACGCTCCTGCCAGACTTCTGTTTTTTGGTGGTACTGGGATTGAATCCAGTTTTTCACTGAGCTTCACCCCCAACCTTTTTAATTCTGTGTTTAAGGACAAAATCTCCCTGAATCACTCAGGGGCCTAGGCTGGGCACAAACTTGTGATCCTTTTTCCTCAGCCTCCCAGAAACCTGGGATGACAAGGGTGGCTTGTCATGGCTTGGCTTGGGTCTTTTTCTAATGATTTTTACCGGTTTTATTTTTAATTGACAAATAAGAGTTGTATTAAAAAACTTGTGTATATTTGGGTTAAGCGTGGTGGCTTCTGCCTGTTACACCAGCACTAGGAAGGCTGAGGCAAGAGGATTGCTGTTAGTTCAGGCCAATCTGGGCTACATAGTGAGACCTTGTCTCTAAAAAATGAAACAAAACAAACCATTGTATACTTTGGGGAAACAAATTGATATTTTGCTTTATTGTTTTGTTTGAGACTGGATCATGCTAAATTACCTAGGCTGGCTTCAAACTTGTGATCCTCCTGTGCCACATCCCACATTCTGGAAGTACAGACATGTGTGCCACCACACCCAGCCAAAGCAATATTTTGATGTGTGTTTACACTGTGGAGTGATGAGATCAAGCTAATTAACTATCTCCCTAATCTATTCATTTTGTGACCTATTAATTCATATGTGTAATGAGAACATTTCAAATGTACCTTGTAAGGCAAAAAAATGTTGGGGGGGGCTGGGGATTTAGCTCAGCGGCATAAGCGCCTGCCTTGCAAGCAGGGAGTCGTGAGTTCGATCCCTGGTACCGATAAAAACAAAAAAAAAATATTTTTTTTTTGAGACAAAATGTCTCTACCTAGGTTAGGCTGTCCTTGAGTACACTATAAAACCCAGGCTGGCTTTCAGTTTGTGGCGTTTGTGGTGTTTCAGTTTGTCCTGCCTCAGCCTCTGGAGTGCTGGCATTACAGAAAGTACCTACCAGCCAGGCATGGTAGTACATACCTATAATCCCAGCACTTGGGAGGCAGAGGCAGGGGGATGACTTGAGTTCCAGGCCAGTCTGGGTTGCATAGTGCGTTCAAGCCCAGCCTTAACAACATAGTGACACTCTGTCTCAAAAAAGAAAAACAGGGCTGGGGATTTAGCTCAGTGGCATAAGCATCTGCCTGACAAGCTCGAGGTTATAAGTTCGATCCCTGGTACCACAAAAACAAACAAACAAAAAAAGGAGTTGCAGGGGCTGGGGATTTAGCTCAGCGGCATAAGCACCTGCCTTGCAAGCAGGCAGTCGTGAGTTCGATCCCCGGTACCAATAAAAAGGAAAAAAAAAAAAAAAGGAGTTGCTATCATGGCAGTCTCTCTCTCTCTGTCTCTCTCTCTCTCTGTCTCTCTCTCTCTGTCTCTTTCTCTCTGTCTCTCTGTCTCTGTCTCTGTCTCTCTCTCTCTCTCTCTCTCTCTCTCTCTCTCTCTCTCTCTCTCTCCAGTACTGGGGATGAAACCTAGGGCCCAGGCAAAAGCTCTATCACTGAGCTGCACCCTCAGCCCAATCCAGGCTCTTGAACCCCAGAGCTCAAAATTCTTGTTCCGAGTCAGTGACATCCTGGTTGTGTGACCTTGAACAAACGACTTGACCTCTCTGTGCTGCTGTTGCTTCTCCTCTGAGAGGATGTGGAGAAGGGTGCCAGAGGCTGTTAAGAAGCATGCAGAGACTGTGTCTATGGGTTTTTCATTGGCTGTACTGGGGTAGAGGGAGAAAGGGGACCAAATAAAGACTGGAAACATGGACTGATAGCAAATACACATTTAAATTAAAAGAATGGTCGGTATTGATCGTTGACGCCACCACTGTTCGCAGCTGAGCGCGAGCCAGTGTTCCCTTAGCCAGCACCTGACACCTGTAGCAGCCAGTTCAGCTGTGTGTGGACTGCGCATGTGCGCCAGCAAGCTCGCGGCCCGAGGTAGAATGCCTGGACTGGAAAAACAGTCCATTTGTTCATTCATTCAGTAACTCCCATTGACTAAAAAAGAAAAATTAGTAACTCACATGGAGCACCTGGTATGTGTCAGACACCACTTTTCTTTCTTTCTTTTTTTTTTTTTCCCCCTTTCTTTTTAACCGGTACCAGGGGTCGAACTCACGGCTGCGCGCTTGCAAGGTAGGCGCTTGGGCACCTGAGCTAAATCCTCAGCCCCTGTTTTTCTTGTTTTGTTTTGTTTTGTGGCAGGATCTCGCTATGTAGCTCAAGCTGGCCTTGAACTTGAAGTGACCCGAGTGCTCAGAGGCGGTGATGTTTGGAAATGGGCACTTAAAGAGTAGGACAGACTTGTCCACGTGCAAAGCACTAGCGCTAAAGTAGGCAAGCTTTAGCAACCAGACCTTCAGAAACCAGGTCCGAGGCTTGACTGCTCTGCCTCCATCCCTTTTAGAGTGGCTCCGCCTCACTCAACCGCCGGTGTCAATCTAATCCTGATGACCAATCGTGGGAGAGAAGAGACTACTTCCGCACCTCAACCGCACTTAGGGGGCGGGACAGAGGGCGGGAGAGGCGGGAGGGGGGCAGGTGGTCACGTGATTCGCCTCATTGGCCTGGAGCCTCGGGGGCGGAGACTAGTTTGGCGGCGCTCATTGGGCAGAGCTGGATTGGGCCGGCGCGGGGCCACGCCCCCGAGCGGCAAGGGTTTGGTTGCGCTGCCGCCCGGGAAGGAGACGCTGCCCTTCCGCAGTGATGGGCTCGAGGGTGAGTGAATGCGGCCCAGATAAGCCCACCGGGCTGCGCGGTGGAGGCCGGGACTGAGGCCCAGAGTGGAGGGGACCGGGCCTGTGCAGAGCACGGGGCTGGCGCAGGTGTCGGGGCTCAGGCGCCCAGGAAAGCAGCGGGCACCCCGGCCGGGCAGCGCGGCAGGGCATCGGGGCGACCTGAAGGGTATCCCAGGTCCGGGGCCAGAAGGACGGGGCCGAGCCGGGCCGCACATGGTGCCCGGAGTAGATGAGCAAGTCCTGGTTACAGGAACGGTGCTCCAGGCCGAGGGGAGCAGGACGCTGCGCGGGGGTGGCCGCGGAACTCCGCGTGGGGACATCCAGGTGGTTGGGCTGTGGGACTTCAGACCCGAGGCACCGGGGGTCATCCAGGGCCGGGCGGTAGAAGGCTGCGCCCAGGCTGGCTGTGTTAAGGGGCTGGAGATGGCGCTAGGGGGTTCCTCCCCAAGACCGCAGAGCGCGGGAGGTTGCTGTCTAGGTGGGCCAGGCTGTGCTGGGCATCGGAAGTGTCCGCCTAGTGCGGGCATCGCCGTGAGATTTTCATGCGGGGAAAGAAGTTTTCGCCATCGGACCTCCCTGCTTCAGGCCTTGCGTTGTGCTAGGGGTAGGGGCAGGGCATATAGATGGCCGAATTTGGACCTCTTCCCTCCTTGCAGTGAAGGGGGCTGTGGGACCTGGGGGATTTCCTTCCCAGCAGAGGGTACCAGGTTTAGTCCCTGTTAGCACCTGTCTGGCTCTTGGACTGCTGGAGAGCGTGTCCCACCTCATCTCTGTGACTGTGCCAACTTCTTAAGCCCTTCAAGTGTGGTGTGGATGACAAGTGGCAGTGTCATGAGCAGGGCTGGGAAGCAGCGTGAGGTCCTCAGTCCCCTAAACTGGGGGCACTTGAGCGACCTTGGCGAGGTTGCTGTCCTCCAGAGCCTCAGTTTCCCTGTCCTGAAGGGTTCTGTGAGTGATCTAACCCAGAGCCCTCAGCAGGGAGCCTGTTGCATCCCTGGCCTGGGAGAAAGCAGTGCTTAGCCTCAGCTGGTGTTGTCCTGCCTGCCTCCAGGCCCGCCAAGCTGGGTGGCGGAGGAGGGGCTTGCAAGTACCCTGACACTGGAAATCACAGGGTCACAGCTCAATACTCACCGCTGCCTGGCAAGCTGATGGTGTGGCAGGGTTTGCCTTAGCATATTTCCCTGCCTCACATCCTAGCCCAGCTCTGGACTGACCTGTCCAGCTGCCCTTCTCACTCACTGGGATAAGCTGTCTCTTATACCTGCCAGTGACTTGGCTGCCTTCCTAGCAGACAGGGTCTCCCTGGCCTGTGTGTTCCTTCCGCTTGTGGTCCTGAAGACCTTAAAGGCATCCTTCGGCTGGGTGTTGGCATTGGGGAGCAACCTGCAGTATCTTGAGGTTCAGGCTGTGTGAGCAAGCCCAGCCTTGGAATGGGGCAGCTTGGTACCCTGGGGGCTTCTCAGAAGGTCCTGGAATAGCTGTCCTTGTCCTCTGTGGTTCTGCCGGGTCTGCATTTCTTGCTCCCTGTCAAATTTAGCCACAGGGTGTGCATTCGAGCAGAGTCTAGAGTCCAAGAGCCCTTGATCCACCTGGACTGTGTCATGTATCAGCCGTGTGACATTGGACTCCACCTGGCTGCCCTGAGACTCAGTTTCCTCAGTTGGAAGGTGGGGGGAGGTGGGACGGGACAGGATATGTGGCCCCTGCTTCACAGAATTGTGGTGAGTTGGTGAAAGAACTCAGCACACACATGCTGCCCAGGCTGTGGCCGCGCCGGGAGCTGGAGCCCGCTGTACTTTATGGTGTGGTGCTTAGAAAGGAACTACACTCTGCCTCGTGGGAGGAGGAAAAGATGTCACTATTTCTAGGCGGAGGCTTGCAGATTTTGTTCAGCACCTGGCCTGTGTGTTTAAAGAGGCTGAGAAAGAGGCAGAATACCCGACACTGGAGGATGACGCATGCGTAACCTAGGCCCTAGGCCCCTCGGGTCAACATGGCCAGGCTGCTGCCTTCCTCTCTCTCGGCTCAAGGTGGGCACAGGGTCTGTGGGCATCTGGGTGGCTGCCTGCTGGCAGGTGCCCAGGGCTAGGGCCTCATTGCAAGCCCGTGTCTGGACATTCCCTCTGCTCAGTCCTGCACTCCACGGGCACTCTGCGTGCCTCTGTTTGTGTCCATGGGTGCCTATTTGTGATCATGTCATGTCTGCTTGGATCCACATACCTTTCAGGGTATTGGCACGCGTATAAATCTTACCTGGAGCAATTTGACCCATGTGTGCACTTTCTCATGTCTGTCCCTCAGCCCTGTGGAGGGACCCTCTGGTATGAGTGTCCCTGTCCTGCTGGGGTGTGGACGGTGCCCAGGACCCAGCCAACCACCAGCTGAAGACATCCTGCGTGGAAGCCCCTGGCCCCGTGGGCTCCCACCCAGGCACCGACGCTGCAATGGCGTTCCGGCGTGCCGAAGGTGTGTCCATGATCCAAGCGCTGGCCATGACGGTGGCTGAGATCCCCGTCTTCCTCTACACCACCTTTGGGCAGGTGAGGACCAGGCCAGGCAGGAGCCCTGCCCTTCCCCTGCACACCTCATGAAGTCCTGAGCCGCTCAGCCTGGCGTCCCCTGGGGCTGGGAGAGCAGACCCCAGTCTTCACCCCAAGGTTCCTCAAGTCCCAGCCCCAGCTTCTCGGTTTGAAGAAGGGATCAGTGTCGCTGGTCCCGACAGCCTTGGAGGTTCAGGCTGACCAGGCCCCCACGCTTCCTCCAGCTCTGTCCTAGGGGAAGCTTCTCCACAGGACTCCCTGGGAGGTGGGCAGGGGTGGGCAGCAGGGAGCCTCAGATGGAGCGGCCTGGTGGAGTGAATGCTACCAACTTTAAGGACTGGATTCAAGTTCTGTGTCTGTCACCATGCATGTGTGGCCTGACCTCAGTGTCCTTGTCTGAAAAGTGACAAGGCTCCACCCCATACCCAGGCCAGCTCCTAGCACAGAGCCTGGCACGGCAGCCGTGACCATCAGGGCTGGTGGCTAGCAGGATGCCTCTCGAGGCTCGGCCCTCTTGTAATGTGTCTGCCGTCCACGTTTCGCAGAGGCGGGGCAGGTCCCATTCCGGGGTGGCTGCCTCCTCTGTCACTCCTTTGGTGCTCCTGGGACAGCTCTTGTGGAGCCGACCTAACCCAGCCCCTGATCTCCCACAGACTGCATTCTCACAGCTACGACTGACGCCGGGCCTGCGGAAGGTCCTCTTTGCCACGGCCCTGGGCACAGTGGCCTTGGCCCTGGCTGCCCACCAGCTGAAGAGGCGTCGGCGGAAGAAGAAGCAGGCGGGGCCTGAGGTGGGAGGCCAGCAGCTGGGCGCGGTGCCCCTGCCCTTCGTTCTGGCCCGGAAGGCACCGTCGGTGAAGAAAGGTGGGCATCACACTGCTGTGGGGTCTCAGGCCAGTGCCTTCCATTTCACAGCCAGCTCCACTCAGTGTTAGACGTGATGATGGGGCCGGAATGCTGCATGTGTGGTCCAGTGCGGTCTGGTCCAGTTCAGTCAGTGGCGCTGGGTCTACAGGGGCCCCGATCCAAGGACCCTTGAACAGCACATGGTGCAGAGTGGCTGGGGCTGGACAGCAGGTTCTGGACGAGGTTTTTCTTTTTTCTTTCTAGCCCTGGGGGCAGAACCCAGGACCTTCATACTGAGCTCTATCCCCAGCCTGGTTGATGTCTGTTTTTGTTTTTGGTTGAAGCAGGTTCTTCCTAAGTCGGCCAGGCTGAGCTTCAGTTTGCAGTCCTCAGCCTCCTGGAGTGCTGGGATGACAGGCGTGTACCCCTGTCTGGCTCATTTCTGAGCTTTGACACACACACACATAGTCACTGTCGTGTCCCTGCAGTCTCCTCCCATACCCTTTACATCGCCCTGTCTCTGCTCCCAGCCCTGGCGGTGCTAGCCCACCTTGTGGTTGGTGCTGTGGTTTTAGACTTTCTCATCCTCTTTACCATGTGCCACTGCTGTCGGCCACACCTGAGGATTTTCCTGGTCACTTCCCAGGCAGGGAGTTCTCCGAGGCGCTTATCTCAGGAGGAACCTGTTTTTAAGAAGCAAGTCTGGGGGCTGGGGATTTAGCTCAGCGGCATAAGCACCTGCTTGCAAGCAGTCAGTCATGAGTTTGATCCCTGGTACCGATAAAAATGAAAAAGACAAAAAAAAAAAAAAGAAGCAAGACTCAGCTGGGTGTGATGGTGCACACCTGTCATCCCAGCAGTCTGGAGGCTGAGGCCAGGCATTGGTTGTGAGTGTGAGGCCAGCCCAGGCCACACAGGGAGAGACCCTGTCTCCAAAAGCCAAGACCAAAAACTGAAACAAAACCAAAGCAAGCCCCCTAGGAAAATGAGTCTCACTCCTGAGCTGTCATTAGAAGAGTTTTATCTTCGCAGTTGGAAGAAGGTGATCTGGGGCCCCAGATGTCCATGATGGCCTCCTTGCCTTACCTACAGCGGCCTGGAGCTCATCTGCCCTGGCCTCGTGCCTGCGTGCACTGTGTCCCTGCGCTTTCTCGTTTCACCTCTTTTGTTCCCTTCTCCTTTACCTGGGCCTTGTGATGCCAAGCCTAGCTCTCCCAGAGCCGCACCCCTGGCCCCACTTTTCTCACTTAAAAAAATTCTTGGAGGGCCAGGGATTTAGCTCAGTGGCTCAAGCGTTTGCCTGGTGGGTGTGAGGTCATGAATTTGATCCCAGTCCAAAAAAAAAAAAAGGAAAGGAAAATCTTGGTTTTTTGAGACAAGGACTCACTGCATAGTCCAGGTTGGGCTCAAACTCAAGGCAGTCCTTCTGCCTCAGCCTCCAGAGTGCTAGGATTATAGGTATATGCCTGGCTGCCAGGTCTGTCTTTTATTTTTTTTATTTGGGACAAGCCCTCTCAAAGTTTCTAAATTGTTTAGGTTGGGCTCAAACTTATGATCCTCCTGCTTCAGCATCCCAGTTGTATATTTTTAAAAGTTATCTCAACCCCTTTGGAAAGAAGACTAATCTCAGTCAGTCAATCAACAACATAGGAGAACTAAGTAAGGAGCGGGGAAGTGGCCTCACTTGATTCTCAGCGCCTCCCAGCAGGTCCAGGACCCTCCTCTGTTCCAGGTGACAGCAGTGGCAGTGAGTGGGACAGCAGGAGGCCCCGTTTTCCTCTGTCTGCGCCCAGACTTGGGGCCCTGTGGTCCCTGATATAGGAGGGCAGCACTTGTGCCCAGATGCTTGGTCCGAGCAGGCCTGGGATGGGGGGCAGCTGAGTGACCGCCCTCTGTCCCCCACAGGCTACTCCAGCCGCAGAGTGCAGAGCCCCAGCAGCAAGAGCAATGACACCCTCAGTGGCATTTCCTCCATCGAGCCCAGCAAGCGCTCAGGCTCCTCCCACAGCCTGGCCTCGGTGAGCAGTGGGCAGGCGGGTGGCAGGCACCTACCAAGAAACAGGGCACTGCGAGGTGCTGAGGGTCTGGAGGTCAGGAGAACAGAGGGAGCCCTTCTATCCTGGAGCAAGGCCAGGGTTCCTTGCCCTATCTGGCTGTCAGCTCTCAAGTGGCTCCGTGCCCAGCCCTGGGCTGGCACCACCATGGCGTCACAGGTGAGTGGGAGAGGGATTTGTCCTCTTGCCAAGGGTGACAGCCAGGCCTGGCACATGTGAGTGCTGTGTCACCCTAGTCTGACCAGCAGAACAGTTCCCAAGATGCCAGGCAGGACAGGCTTGGGGTGGGTGTCACTGGGGGCTGCTCTTCCAGGGCCAGGCTAGCCACCGTACCTCCTGCCATTGGGGAGATGCCTGGGAGGACCCAGGATCCAGGCCATTGGGAGGGCAGGGACACTACCAGGCTCGCTCAGGATGGCTCCTGGGAGGCCATTGACTGTGTTGCATGGTCAGGCAGAGGGGCAACGATACCTCACTCCTGTTCCTGCCCTTGGCCCCCAGATGATGGCAGTGAACTCGTCCAGCCCTACAGCTGCATGCTCCGGACAGTGGGAGGCCCGCGGGCTGGAGGAGCCGATGCCCGCCACCAACGGCAGCGCCGAGAGCCTCTACGTGCAAGGTGCAGCAGGGGCTGCCCCTGGCCCTGCCCTGCCCTGGCCCTGCCCTGCCCTGCCCAAGCCATGCTTTCTGGGGTCAGGACTGATCCGAGCAGAGCTCTGCAAAGGCCCCAGCCCTGGCCAAACCGGGTGTGCACCTCCCTCCGCGGCCCCCCTACCCCATGCCCACACCCATGGCAAGGCATTGGGGCCGGACCATGTCTTCTCCCCGCATCTGCGCCCAGGCATGGAACTGTTCGAGGAGGCGCTGCAGAAGTGGGAGCAGGCGCTGAGCGTGGGCCAGTGTGGGGACAGCGGCGGCACCCCAACACACGGGGACAGCCTGCGGCACCCGGAGACAACTTCCGAGGCCCTGTCAGAGGTGGGGACTTCACCAAGGTCCCCTACCTCCCAGTCCTGTGCGGGGTTGGTGAGCAGGGGGCGTGCAGTTATCTTAAGACCTGGTCGCGCTGTGTAGCCCAGGCTGGCCTCGAGCTCGAGGGGAGACCCTGGCTTCCATCCCAGAACCAAAAGAAAACAAATGGGAAACTATATTTAGGTAGCACCCCCAGGATGGCTGTGACCCCAAAAAGGGACAGCGAGGGCCGGAGACTGAGGGAAGTCCAGCCCTTGCTCATTGCTAGTGGGCATGTGAGACCAGAAAGGATGATTGGGAGCCTGTGGTGCACATCCGTCGGGCCAGCACTCTGGGAGGCTGAGGCAAGAGGATTGCAAGTTCCAGCTCAGCTTGGGCAACTTAGCAAGATCTTCCCCCTGAATCGAGAGTCTGATCATTTTACCGTACGACCCACACTATAGTCTGCTGTGACAGTTCACATTTCTCTCTGGCAGCAGTGGCCACCATCCTGTGTGTCCCACGCTCCTAGCGTGTTTGGGTGGGGACTGGCTGTGTGTCACCTCTTGTGGCTTCACGTGGCTGCGCCTGCTGTCTCAGGGCACAGGTGCCAGCCTGAGCCGTCCCTCCCGCCCTCACCTGCAGCCAGAGTCACAGCGGCGGGAGTTTGCGGAGAAGCTGGAGCTGCTGCTGCACCGCGCCTACCACCTGCAGGAGGAGTTCGGCTCCACCTTCCCCGCTGACAGCGTGCTGCTTGACCTGGGTGAGCCACGGTGCTGGGCAGGGGCCCCCCTGCCAGGTGTCTTGTGGCACAGATGGGGAAACTCAAGGGTGGGTGGGGCAGCAGGATAGACCACGACGAGGCCCCTGGGAGCAGGCCTGGGTTCCAGGGTTGCTTTTGACTGGGCTCAGCCCCCCATGCACTGCTCTTCCAGAGCGGACTCTCATGCTGCCCCTGACCGAGGGCTCGCTGCGATTGCGGGCTGACGACGTGGACAGCCTGACCTCCGAGGACTCCTTCTTCTCAGCCACTGAGGTGATTTGGCTTGGGGCACCGGCAGGTGGGAAATGAGCTCCACTTCCTGGGGACTCGGCGACTTTGCTGGGGAGAAGGAGCCCCGAGAAGCCAGAGGCAGCAGCCCTGGGTGACACCAGAGGTCCCTAAGGGTTCAGCCCACACTGTCCCCTCCCTTGACACCAGTCGCCTGGCATGGCCGGGTTGTCAGGGTGTCTTGGCCTGGAGTGGAGGACAGCAGCCTGTGTCCATGCACTACCCTGGGACAGCTCCCTGGGAAGGCGATGCTATGGGCCAGAACCAGACTCGAACTCAGGCCACGTCCCCTCAGGTTCCCCAGGAGAAGGGCAGGTGATGGGTCCAAGGTGACCCTGCTCACCTGCTGTCTTCCTGTGCACCCTCCCTAGCTCTTCGAGTCCCTGCAGGCTGGAGATTTCCCAGTGCCGCTCTCCAGACCCGCTGCTGCCTACGAGGAGGCCCTGCAGCTGGTGAAGGAGGGCAAGGTCCTCTGCCGGACCCTCCGGTGAGGACGCGTGGGTCGGGGCTGCAGGCAGGTTGGGGATCAGGGTTACAGTGACAGACGCAGAGAATCGCCTAGCAGTTCTCCTCCTACTCCAGGCTGGCAGAGGATATGGTCACAGCACCACAGTGGCCACAGTCCCCAGCCCCGTCCTGACGTAGCCCTTTGCAGCAGCAGCCAGGAACCCAGGGCACGGGAGAGCAGACCCGGCTCTCTCCAGGCTCGGCCACTGTGCAGTGCATGGCCTTGAATAGATGGCCTCAGCGTCCTTCCCTGTGCATCCTTGGTGCCCTCTTGGCCATCCCCCAGGAACTTCCTGAAGGGACAAAACACAGGGCTTGGTTTTCTGACCATGGCTGGCAGGCTGAAGCATATTCAAAAGTCCACTGGTTGCCTGGTGCGCTAGTGTACACCTGTAATTCCAAAACTTTGGGAGGCTGAGGCAGGAGGATCTCAAATTCAAGACCAACCTGGGTAGCTAAGCAAGACTCCATCTCAAAAACAAAAACTTAAGTCCACTGATGAAACATGGTTGAAAGTTCAAACAGAACTTTGAAGGCATGGTGATTTGGTAAAGGGCAGCAGAGCCACAATATGATGCTGTCTGCCCCCTATCTCCCCCCGCCCCCAGGACCGAGCTGCTTGGCTGCTACAGTGACCAGGACTTCCTGGCCAAACTGCACTGTGTCCGGCAGGCCTTTGAGGTGGGTGTGGCTTCTGGGAATGGTGGCCAGGAGGGGCTCACGCAAGCTGGCACAGCCAGGCCTGCCCACCCACCAGCTGTCACTCTGTCCCCTCCTCCAGGGGCTTCTGGAGGACCCAGGGAATCAGCTGTTCTTTGGGGAGGTCGGCCGGCAGATGGTGACAGGGCTGATGACCAAGGCCGAGAAGGTACTGGGTGGGGGCTGGGCCAGCTTTTCTTCCCCACATAGCTTTCCCCAGATGCGTATTCAATTCCTAGTTTTAATTGTTGTTTGAAAAAAAAATTAAAACCAAGCACAGGCGCTTTGTGTTTATGCTTCGGCCATGGGGGAACAGGGAGCAGGGTAGGGTTTTGTCGTTTTGCTTTGTTTCATTTTGTGGTCCCAGGGCGCTCTTGTCACTGAACTAAGTCCCCAGCCCATTGTATTTTTTGAGACAGAGTCTTGTGAGTCACTAACTTGTGCACTGTAGGCTGGAACTTGTAACTCTCCTGTCTCAGCCTCTTAGAGGGCTGTGATTACAGGCTCATGCCACCGTTCCCTGCAGGTTGAGGTTTATTTCCCTGGGCCAGTGTCAGATAGCAGAGCTCCTATTTTGGATTCCAACACAGCGGAGTTGCACAGATTTAACCACTGTAAAACAGGCAGCCAGGCTGTGGGCACCATGGACCTGGACAGTGTGTGCCCTTTCCCAGCCCACGTGCTCTCCCAATGGCCTGCAGCATGGCCCGATGGGCAAAAGTGTAGGCGGGTACCTTTCCAACATAGGCCTGGGGTGACTTCCAGATTGCAGGGTCACTGTCTTGTGGGCTGGCTGTGGTCTGTCCAGGTCCCTCATGTGACCTGTGGGTGGCACTTGCTTTTCACGTCACAGGTCACTGCTCGGTCAGCCCTCTGCGGTGGTGTCTCAGACCACCCACGTTACAGGCCAGCAGGTCTTGCCACTTCTATCCTCCCTGCATGAGCGAGGGTTTCCCCAAATCTTAGCCCACGAGGGTAATAACAGCGTTTTCTTTTTTGTCTTTTTTAGACAGGGTCTTGCTATGCAGTCCAGGCTGGCCTTGGGCTCACTTTGTAGCTCAAGATGGTCTTGAACTCACAGCAATCCTCCTGCCTCAGCCTTCCAAGTGCTGAGATTACAGGCATGTGCCACTATACCCAGCTAATAGCAACCTTTAAATCTGTATTATTTTATCTGTTCCTTTCTGCTTCTTGGTCACGGCTAAAGTGGTATAGTTTTTCATGTTTATTGGCCGTGTGTGTTTTGTTTCATTTTGTTTTGTTTTGGTACTGGGAATCAAACTCATGACCTTGTGTGTGCCAGGCAGGTGTGTTTTAATGAATTGGTACACAGCTTTTATTTGTTTAGAGATGGCCTCACTGTGTAGCCCAGGCTGACCTTGAACTGGCACTGACCCTCCTGCCTCAGCCTCCTGAGTGCTGGGATTACGGGCAAGCACCGCTACCCCCTGCTCGGGAGGAGAGCTTTTGAATAGGACTCTCCTCAAGTCTTTTCCCACATGCTGGGAGACGATTTTTAAGTCCTCATTTGCTCTTGTCCCCTACCTGTCCGAGACAGCGCTGCCTGCGCACCCCCCCACCCCCCCCACCCCCCACCCCCCACCCGTGTTTGCTGTCAGCTGTGCAGCCTAGCTCATTCCTGCTTAGGACAGACCTGGGCACACACTCTTTGTGTCTCTAAGTGCAGACCCACTGCAGCGAACTGTGTTTCTTGCTTTTTTAGACAAAGTTTCAGTACGCAGTTCAGGCTAGCCTTAAACTCACTAGGTAGCTCAGGCTGGTCTCAGACTCCTGGCAGTCTTCCTGCCTCGGCCTCCTGAGTGCTGGGATTACTGGTGTGCACCCCCACGCCTTCCAGCAGATTGTATTCCCAGGCCTCGAGGCAGCTTTAGTGGCTGGGTATGGGAAGTGTCTATGCCATGGGCCAACTTCATTATGGGAACCGCCTTGGGAATGCAGGCCCTGGAGGTCTGGATGCTTAGCCCCCCAATTTCGCACTGCGTGTTGGCTCTGTCCTGTGAAGTGAGGTCAAGCTGGAGGGCCGGGCCTGGCTCCAGGACACAGCAGCGGCCTGCATTGTGCCGGACACCCCGTCCCCCGTGAGGTGCACTCTGGTGGCAGGACCCTCCTGCCCTTGTTTCCTCCCTGGCCAGTGCTCCCAGCAAGCCCTGGCATGTCCATCCCTAGCCGCTGCCGGCCGGTCCCTGTGGACTGTGCAGCCGGGGCCTCTGGACTCTACCAGCCGGAACAGGCTGCTTCTCCCCACAGAGCCCCAAGGGCTTCCTGGAGAGTTATGAGGAGATGCTGAGCTACGCCCTGCGGCCCGAGACCTGGGCCAGCACACGGCTGGAGCTGGAGGGCCGCGGGGTGAGTCGGCCCTGCCAAGCAAGGGTCTCCAAGCGAGCGGGGAGGGGGTGCATGTGAGGTGCACCATTCTGGGTCTGGGTCTGGGTCCGGGTCCTGCCCCTGCCCCCAGCACAGAGCAGAGGGGATGCTACGCATAAGCCTGCATGCACCCCTGCCCAGCCGCACCCCCTGCCTGCTGGCCCGCAGGTGGTGTGCATGGGCTTCTTCGACATCGTGCTCGACTTCATCCTCATGGACGCCTTCGAGGACCTGGAGAACCCGCCATCCTCTGTGCTCGCTGTGCTGCGGAACCGCTGGCTGTCTGACAGCTTTAAGGAGACGGTAGGCCACTGCCCTGGGTGCTCCCCAGCCCCCTGCCCTGCTCCTGGGCCACCCCCAAAGTCTGAGGCTGCAGCCTTGGGCTTGTTCTAAGGCGACCCATGGGGAAGGCATTTGCAGCCGTCTGGGTTCACTTGGTCACTGAGGTGGCTTTAATTCTACCAGTTGTTGATGCAGCCATTAAATTAGAACCAGGAAAACAAATTGGGTGTGGCGGTGCACACTTGGGTGCCTCAGGAGGCTGAGGCAGGAGGATCACCATCTGTTCAAAACCAGCCTAGGTTACGTAGTGAGTTCAAGGCCAGCCTGAACTGCATTGTGAGACCCTGTCTCACAAAACCAAAGGAAAAAGGAAAAAGATAAATTGTGGCGTCTGTGACTCCTGCTGCCCTGCAGCCCTGGGTGGCTAGGGATGCGAGCTCGGGGAGAATGCCGCAGCCTTGGGCCTCCTGCATGGGTGGTGCGGTCAGGGCCAGCAGGTGTAACACTTCTCACAGGGCTGGATCCCCTCTGCTTTAGGCCCTGGCCACTGCATGCTGGTCAGTCCTGAAAGCCAAAAGGCGGCTCCTAATGGTGAGTGACCCTGGGCCCTGGTCAGCTGGCAGATAGGTGACACGACCCCCACCTGGCCTCTGCCCCTCTGGCCTTCAGCACTCCCTACACTGCTGCCCAGCTTTACATCCTTCCTCTAGTGGCTGGGACTCCCAAAGGTCATGCAGGTCCCCTTTACCTCTTCCTGAGGCCACGCCATCTGGACCCAACCAGGCACCCCAAGGGGTAGGGGCACCCTGGGAGGGCAGACAGTGGGTACTCACTGCCCCCTCTCTACCTGTGGTCCTGCTGCCTATCAAAGGCTGGCTGCCAGTGCCCCTTGCTGCGGCCACCTGGCCCTGGCCTGTATGCACACAGTAGCCCAGGGGCCCCTGCTACAGATGTGGAAAGCTGGGCTGCGAAGGCCCGCACTGTGTGCCAGGGTCCCCGCCCTGCCCCAGCTCCACTCCTGAACCTCCCCGACACAGGTGCCTGATGGCTTCATCTCCCACTTCTACTCCGTATCGGAGCATGTCAGCCCCGTGCTGGCCTTTGGCTTCCTCGGCCCCAAGCCGCAGCTCACAGAAGTCTGTGCTTTCTTCAAGGTGGGCAGGGTCCGGCGCCCCTCTCTGTGCCCAGGAGCTCGGAGCATGGGTGGGGGAGGAAGGGCTGGCTGTGTGGCTTGGGGACCCAGCCCCGCCTGCCCCATGTTCCCAGCATCAGATCGTGCAGTACCTGCGGGACATGTTCGACCTGGACAACGTGCGTTACACCTCGGTACCCGCGCTGGCTGAAGACATCCTCCAGCTGTCCCGGCGCCGCAGCGAGATCCTGCTGGGCTACTTGGGGGCACCGGCGGCCAGCAGTGTCAGCCTCAACGGGGCACTGCCCCGCGGGAACGGACCCCCAGTGGAGCTGTAGTAGCTGCAGGCACAGGCTGGAGGGGACCTGGCTGTCCAGGTCCCACTTGCACTGGTGACGGTGACAGCAGAGTCGCTGTGCCCCCTCTGGGTGGCAGCCAAGCACCAGGGCAGCCGAGGGCAGTGTTCACCAGTGAGGGTGGAGCCCCAAGGCTGGGGCCCTGGAGGACTCCAGGGACAGCAGGAGAGGAAGGTCCTGGGGAAGGGGGCATTGAGGACAGTTGGATCCAGAAGAGCCAGGGCCCCAGGAGGATGGTGGTAAGGAGGAGGTGGCGGGACTCTTGAGTGCCTGGCAGCTGTGTGTCTCAGACCGGGTTGTCTGCAGGTCCCACCCTGGCTACCACCCCAGAGTCTGCAGCTACTGCAGGGTGGGGGGATGAGCAGGTGGCCCAGGCCCTCCAGGGTGGGACTGAGGTGGCTCTGTGCCCCAGGCACCACCCAAGTACTCTGCCCTCCTCTCCCGCCCCTGCCAAAGATGTCATCCTACCACCTCTGCCACCAAAGGGGGTCCCCTCCCCTGCCACCTCTTCTGTGAACCTGAAAGTTCCTGGGTGGTGCTGAGCTCAGAGCTGGGGCTGGGACCAGGGCCCCCTTGGCCCCATCACCTGTGTTGCCATCGGCTGCCCCAGAGTGAGGGTCCCAGGGACCATGGCGGGGAGGCCAGGGTGTTCACAGATGGACCAGGTCCCTGTCACTGGGGCCAGAAACTGCCTGACGCTTCACCTTCTCGCAGTGGGGAAGGTGCCTGGTGTGGGGCTGGGCCACCTGGCAGCCTTGGTCAGTGTGGCTGCAGGGATCCTGCCAGTGTTCTTGCCGGAGCCACAGTTTTATTTATTGCCTTAACACTTTTCTCGGAGGTTCTGCCCCTTCCGGGTTCCAGGACACGTGGGAGAAGCAGAGGCCTCTTCCAGCCTGGAGCGGGAAGGGCTGGCTGGGGGCTGCAGAAGGTCCCCGCCATGAGGGCCCACAGGCGTGAGCGTGGCTCCTCCCCCGCGGCATCCCACATTCCGTTTCTTTGCACTTAGCACTCTGAGAGTGGCCCACTTGGTTTGCCCCTTACCAGAAGGCATTTTCCCTGCCTTTGTTTACACCGCAGCTTGCACACGCAGTTTCCACCTGTATTGGGCAGAGCGCCCCGTCTACCTAAGTCAAATAAAAGATTGGGCCCAGCCCTGCCTCCTGTTGCTGCTGGGTACTGGAGGGGGGGCGCTCTCCCGTGTTAGGGAGTTGCCGGGTGGGGAGGAGCAAGGGGAAGGGAGCTGTGATCCCATCGGGCGGGGTTCCTCAGCAGCCTGAGGGTATCCACATGTCCGGTGGGCGATGCAGTGGTCAGGGCTAGCCTGGGCCTGGTCAAGCATTTGGGTGGCCGAGGCAGGAGAATCACAAGTTCAAAGCCTGCCTGAATCACATAGCAAGAGCTGGACTCAAAAAAAAAAAAAAAAAAAAAAAAAAATTCAAATTCACAGATTAAAAGAAAAAACCCTTGCCTTGCAAGCAGGCAGTCGTGAGTTCAATTTCCGGTACCGATAAAAAGAAAAAAAGACAAAAAAAAAAAGAAAAGAAAAAACCCTTTAAAGTGGGCTGGGGATACTCGGGGTAGAGCACCAGGCTAGCCTGAGGCCTCGGTTTATCCCCAGCATTGCAAAAAACAAATCCCTGTAAAGAACACCCATAAAACCAGCAGCTCCAGTCCATAGTGAGTAAAACACTCATCAAAATGCCAAATTTGTTTTGTGTGCATATTTTTCAACATCCTTCAGAGTAAGCTTCAGACATGAACTCGGGCTGAAAACACTTAATGAGCAGAACCTAACGTTCTTTGGCACAGCCAGAGTGACACCTAAAGAGCCATCAGCGAGTCTTACTGTCCTCACCAGGAGCCTGAAGTGGAGATTTTCCTAACCAGGATGCATGTCTGGCACGAGGTGCACACCTGTGGTCCGAGCTTCACAGCCAGTAGGGGCTGAGGCAGGAGGGTTCCTTGACAAGCCCGGGCAGCACAGCAACACCCGTTGCGAAACAGAAGGCAAGGCATAAGCACACACTGTCCCCTCACCAGTGTTAAGGGTTCTAGCTGAGGGAGTCACTTCCAGTGCCAGCGAATAAGGGGGTTTTTTCTCCCTTGTTTTTTCAGTGCTGGGATTCGAACCCCAGGTTCCGTGCATGCTAAGCACACATTCTACACTTGAGCTATGCTGCCCACCCAGTTTGTTTTAAACAGCTTTTTATGGCACAGGATGTGTGTGCAGAAAATATACTTGATTTACTGGTGTAGTAAATTAGTGAGTCTGCTGCCACAACACAGATTGACTGTTAATTGACTGGTTGATTTTTTTTTTTTTGGAGGGAGAACCAGGGATCAAACTCACAACCTTGCACTTGCCTGGCAGGCATTTATGCCACTGAGCTAAATCCCTGGCCCTTGACTGGTTGATTTTTAAAACAAGGTTCCCACTGGCCTTGAACTCATGGCGAGGCTGCCTTAGAGTCTCCAGTGCTGGGATGACAGGCGTGTGCCACCATACAGTTCCTGAACATCTGTCACACTTGAAAGACCCCGGAATGCATTGCACTGCGTCCCCAGCCCCCACCTGCCTGCTTCCCCTCTCTACAATAGTCTTTTATGAGCAATAAGGAGTGTGATACATAGTCTTGGGTTCTGGCTTCTTCCCACAGAATACTTTTTGAGGTTCACCCCTTTCGCAGCTGATGTGTTATTCCTTTGTTGTGTGGTGTTCAGCAGATTAACCCTGCCTTCCTTCCTAACACCCAGTGGCTGAGCAGGTTTTGTTTATTCAGTGTTTTACACTCAGTGACAGTGATTATTTTGAAGCTCAAACAGTGGCAGACTGGCCAGCGGGAGCCCTTGTAGGCTGGCACCGAGGTCCTGATGCACCTCTCCAGTCTCCGGTGCTTTCTTGGAGCTAAGTGTGTTGCCGGGGGCCCCCAAACTCACTATCAGGCCCACAGGGCTGTGTGGCACCCCAAGCCTGGCGGTCGCCAGCTGCGTGAGGTTCCCCACAGAAATGCCCCAGCCAGACAGTGCTAGTCTGCAGACTGAGGTGAAGCCAGCTTAGGGGCCAGTTTCAGGGGGCAGCATGGTGTGGACGCTGTGGCCAGAGGGGAGGAGGAGGATGATGACCTCCCTCCAGACACCTGCATGACCTCCTGGCAGCATAGCTTGACTCTAGAAGGGCACATTACTATGGAAATCAGCAAATGCAGAAGCCGGAGGCTGGTAGCCTGGCCATTTCTGTCATGGAGTTGTTCCCATGTGTGTTGTGTGGCCCCTGGCGCTGCCTTCCAAAGCCATGAGAGGCCCGGCTGGTCCCCTGTGGAGGTGGCAGTGACACTGGTGAGACTGCTGGCCTCTGCAGCAGGCATCTGCAGGAGCCAGGAGTTCACAGCCGCTAAGGCAAATGCGTTTCTCAAGAGCAGCACCTGGGCTCCCCATATCCCTGTTACTAAGGCCCACACATGGCCCTTGACCTGGGACCCAGCCCTGGAGAAGCCTGGTCTCAGGACCTGCCAGGGCTGTGGCAGCCATTCAGAGACACAGGGTGCACAGAGCCTGCACCTGCCTCCCAGGCTGGCCTGGGTTCCGATCCGACCTCTACCACACACGAGCCAGGTGTGCTGGGCAAACAGTAGGATGCACCAAGCTTCAGGGCTCTCATCCATAACCAGGGCTCGTGGACCTGGTCACTGAGCCCTTGCAGGAGGCCCAGCAGGATCGGGGGACACCACTGTCCAAGCCCAGCTCAGATTGGGGAGGCAGGGTTGCCTCATGGTATGCACTCTGCACTTCCCAGACTACACCTGTGGCATTCCTCCTGCCTCAGCCTCCTCAGGGCTGGGATTGTAGGCCTGCACCAGCATGCCCGGGTGTGTCTTGTTTATTTTGCAGCATCAAACTGCATACATTTTGTGTGTGTTGGGGGGTGCTGGGAATAGAATCCAGGGTCTCATCCCTGCGAGGGCAAGTGCTCTGAGCCACTCACAGCCCCCTACATGGTGTGCTTTGTTTTAGGTACCTCATGACCTTTGGTGCTTGTCAGGCAGAGGCAGGTACTGTGCCGTTGAGCTACATTTCTGGCCTATACACTTTTGATTTCTGGAACTTTCTGTCTAAACATAATATTTTATTTATTTATTTTTGAGACAAGGTCTTGCAGTGTACCTCAGGGTAGCCTTGAACTTGCAGCAACCCTCCTGCCTCAGCCTCTTGAGTACCGGCATTGCAGGAACACATCCATCACATTTGGCCTGAATGTAACATTTTAATTAAAAACAGAATAACTTGGGGGCTGGGGATTTAGCTTAGCAGCATAAGCGCCTGCCTTGCAAGCAGGCAGTCTTGAGTTCGATCCCCAGTACCGATAAAAAGGAAAAAGACAAAAAACAAAACAAAACAGAATAACTCGCCCATCTTCTGAGTGTCCCTCTCTCCTCAGCAGTAACAGTGTCCTCCGAGCATCCAGTGACTCCTGCCCCTCACCTGACCCTCTCTCCTTGCCTGCTCAGTAGGATGACACTGAGCATCTTCTCCTGCCATTCCCCATTCCCTATGCTGGAAGCCCCCACGCTGGATGCTTCCACTCCTCTTGCCTTTCCTCTTCCCTGTCACTTTCTTGGGACCACACTACTGAGGCAGGAGGGCTTGGGTCAGGGGCCTGTGTGTCAGGGACTTGACCCTGGACAGTGCTGGGAGGGGAATGGCAGCCCTGTCCCAGAAACTATTCCAGGAATCTCACAGCCCCTCAATTGTGCCTTTTGCTTCTCTAATAATGGCAATGCCTGAGGTAGGTGATGTGGGCAGGTGTGGGACATAGTGAGACACACAAGTCAGGCTGGGCTCAGAAGGGTGGAGAGGAGGGTGCTGGGCACTACTGAGCAGCGTCCAGAGTCACCACTGTCTCCCTGGCCATGGTCCAGGTGGGCTGGCAGATTTGCCACTTGGTCAATGTGATTCTCACATGCAATCAGCTGTGTCAGAAACCCTGCAACAGAGGAGGACGTAGAGGCTACCATGCCCACACCTGCATTCCCAGTCCTCTGGAAGGCTGAGGCAGGAGGACCTCAAGTTCAAGCCCAGCCAGCAACCCAGTGATTCGTAGAACCCTATCTTAAAATTTAAAAATACAGAGCTTGGGTGCAGAAGCCCTGGATTCAGTTCCAGTGCCACAAAGACAAAGCAGAGGGGGCTGGAGATTTAGCTCAGCCGTATAAGTGCCTGCTTGGCAAGCGTGAGGTCATGAGTCTGACTCCCAGTACTAAAAAAAAAAAAAAAAAAAAAAAGACAAAGAAGAGAACAATCTAGACCTAATGACTTAGTGTATGTCCCGATGGGTCCCAGGAATCTGCATTTCCTACACGATGCCATGCCTCATCACAGAGAGAGACAGGCCACGGTGCTGACCAACACAGCCAAGAGGATGCGCAGGGGAGACCCTCACTTGGCCACAGAACCCCATAGACGTTGCCCTGCACAGTGTAGTGTAGTGGAGGGCGGGTGCGGGCTAGGCAGGGAAATCCCACCTGCTGCCTGGGCTGTAACTCAGTCCGGCTGGCTGCGGGTAGTGGGGCAGGGCAGGTGGTTGGAAGGCCAGGCAGTCAGTTCAGAGGTGTCTGGGGAAACAGAAGGCACCACTTTCCTATTCAGTGCACCTCTAAGATGCCTCCTTAAACAGCACAGATAAGGCCCAACTAATACATCCTTGTCAATGAAGAAAATATGTCAAGGAGTCCTTGACCTCAGGGAAGCCTTCCCTGTCCACCTGGTCCTGGGGACTGAACGCAGGGCCTTCACACTGAGCTATAGCGTGAAGTTACATCTCCAGCCCCTTTATTTTTGGGAACAGTATCTCACTAAATTGCCTAGGCTGGGCTTGAATTTGAGATCCTCCTTCCTCAAATTCCCGTTGGGCTAGAATTACAGGAATGGGCCACCGTGCCCAGATAAGTTTAAGACGTTTAGGGGTCTCCTGTACGCCCCCGTCGGAGGAATCCCCTCCTCAGCCCACAACCTTTTTGTTCTTGTTATTACTTTTGAGACACGTAGCCCAGGCTGGCTTCCAACTCGAAGCGATCCTCTGGCCTCAGCTTCCCCAGTGCTGGGATTACAGGCGTGCGCTACCACGCACTTTAAAGAGAAAGGAAAAAATAAGCTCACCCTGGATCTTTGCCCTCAGTTTATTCATGATGAAAAGTGGGTCAGATCCCGTTGGCGCCAAGGTTCCCTCCCCCACTGTGAGCACGCAGTGTCACGGGCACGCAGGTCCCTCCGATCGCAGGTGGGGACCGGTGCTCGGTGAGACTTCACTGCGGGCCGCAGGTCCCAGCCAAACCAAAGCTCCCACCAAAGTTCAACACGCCCCCCAAACTAGTTCTTGATTGGCCCGCTCTCCCTACACTGTAAATCAGTTTCATCTTCTGATTGGCTATCCTGCTTTCTGTTGTACGCTAGAACCCTCCTTTTTCCTGATTGGCTGAACAACTACCTGCACTTGCCACGGATTGGGCGGTCTGGAAGGCTCCTAGGGGCCCCGCTCCCTGATTGGCTTCTCGGGCCAGTCATACGGCCTGCACGCTGAATGGCTGCGCCGCTACCTGTCTCGAGCTGCGATTGGATGCGTGGCGCCTCCCCTGAGTGATAGGTCAGGACCACCGCCCCCCTGGCTCCCCATTGGCTGCTCTGCGAAGCCCGGTCTCCGGGTAAGATGGCAGCGGACGGACAGTGCTCGCTCCCCGCTTCATGGCGGCCGGTGACCCTCACCCACGTCGAATATCCTGCAGGTAAAAGGCGGTGCCGGCTCCGAGGACGCCCTCCCGGGGTCGGCCCCCTAGTCCCAGGCACCTTGGCCCGCGTGGGCTAGCGGAAGGGCGCCGAGGGACCCGGGTGGGAACTGTCAAATAGCCACGGAGGGGCTCGGCCCGCGCGCGCCGCGCAGGCGCAGTGGGGCGGCGATGAGGTGGGCGAAATTGTGAGGCGGTCTCTCGTACACTTTGCGGCTGCGCGGCTGGGCGCTCCCAGGGGTCCCGGGGCGCAGGGTGGGCTGCAGTGGGGTGGGGATCTGTGTGAGATGGAAAAGAATCGCGGGCCCGAACCTTGGTCCTTCTTCCCTGCCTTCCCCGGAGTCAGAGAGGCCTCACGTAGTTCCCCGCGCGCAAGTAGTGCCTCTTCCTTCAGACAGTACTCTGGGCTGCCTGCAAGAGAAAGAGCTCCCTGTTGCAGGGAGTGTGCAAGCCGTGGCCAGGCTTGTGAGTGCCGGAGATGCCACGCCCTGAACGGCGCGCACAGAGAGCGCTGGGCCTGCGAGGAGGTAGGCAGCCGGGATGGAGATTCCCGGCAGACACACCTCCAGAGGCGCCCAGCCTTCCACTTGGGGAGTCTTTTGGCGACTGTCTGGAGTCTGCAGGCAATCTAGGGGGAGTGGTGCGGCGCTTGGGCCTTGAAGTCTAATGTATCCGGGTCCAATGCAGGCTGAAGCCTTGTGCAAATGCTTCCCCCCACCTGGCTCAATTACTGCATATATAAAGTAACATTAAGCATGGTACCTCCCTTCGGAATGGACCGGCTGACGGCGACAGCAGACCTGCGAAGGGCTGGGTGTAGTGCGCATACGCACAGTGAACATCCGTAAACACCTGCAGTCAGTGTTGGCAGCACCCTCCGTGTAGGAGGGGTTCCAGCCAGGGAGGTGAGGAGCCCCTCACCCAGCCGATTACCCAGGAAGGGCGTCTCCTGCTGCTATCTTGGGCAGGGATGTGGGAACCAGCCCTGCTAAGGGCTCCAGGGCTAGATGCCAGAGAACTTGGACCCCGGGGTTGTGACTATCCTGGAGGCGGGGGAGTCTGCCAGGTGCTGGGCCCCATCTGCTTGCCCACACTCCATTCTTTCATTCATTCACTGAGCCATTTCCCATGCCCACCTCCCAAGCGAAGGTCCTGGGCCGGCTCTGGGCTTTGATTGATGAGCAGGCTCCATAGGCCCTGTGCTCCTGTTCTGGGGAAAATCTGCTTTGTAGGAGGGAAACCAAGGCTTAGAGATGGGGAGGGACTTGCCTAAGGCTTCAGCTCCTTCATGACTTCTTCTCCCCGACTTCAGAGCAGCTTCCTGGGGGCTCACACTGTAACAGTCAAGAAGGAGGTTGGCACTGGGGAGCAGCATGTCCATGGGGGTAACAGGGGATGTGACTGAGCCCTGTGACACGTGGTGAGCCTGAACCCTCCTGTAAATACTTGTGGGGTCACTTGTACTCTTTCAAACTCTCACTGCACTGAACTTGCTTCCTTCACCCATCATTTATCACAGCTTTTGAGCACTGTTCTGGGCTTGAAGAGTAGACTGGGACATAGAAAGACCGTGTCCCTGCTCATAAGGGCCTGTGAGGGAGAGGGAGAGACAAACACAAACCCAGCAGCTTTACCAGCTAGCAGCTCCTGGGCTGAGTCAGCTTTACCAGCGAGTCCCCATTACACAGCAGACTGAGAGCTCTGTGATGGCAGGGTTTCCCCCGCCCCCCTGTCTCTCTCTGCCACTCTGGTCAGTACTTAGTGCATGCTGAGGTCACCCTTGACATGCAACATCCCAGGTGGGGCAAAGAGTGTGTGCAAAGGTCCAGAAGTAGGACAGCGCGTGATGCATTGAGGGAATGAGTCCCATCCCTAAAACTGGGGCAGAGGTGGCAGGAAGCAGGCCAGGGCTAGACAGAGCCTGGGGAGCCAGGCTGAAGAGAGCAGCCCCCAAGGGGATGGGAGCCGCAGTGGGCCTGAGATTGGAGTGTGGTGAGGCCAGCGTCCTTGGCAGCAGCCGCAGAAAGGTCCTACCCGAGAGGGGACCATGGGACAGACTGAGATTGTTACTAAAGGCTTGGTGGCACCTGCCACCTTCTGTCGTCAGCCCAGTGTAGTGGCGAGACTAGAATCTCGGGGTGGGAGGGGAGACAGAAGCCCCTCCAGCGATTGGGTTGCTGTCCTTTTCCCTTGGCCACCTCCGAGCCAGCCTTTCTGGGGGCACGTGTGCTCACTGCCTCTGCCTGGCGTCTCATGCAGCCCTCTGTGGGCACCTCCCTGCTGTTCAGGGCATCACTTCCTCCTGGGTTCTCCCAGCCTCTGCCCAAGCCCTAGAGGGAGATGGCCCCATTGTCACTGACAACCAGGCTGAGGCCCAAGGGATGAAGTTCACAGAGGTGGCACCTGCTGACATAGGAACTAAACTGTGTACCCTGACCCCAGAGTGACCAGGTGGCCACCTTGTCTTAAATGATGGGGCGACCTTTTTTTTGGTACTGGGGATTGAGCTCACGACCTCACACTTATCCTGCAGGCACTGGCGCCGCTGAGTTAAAGTCCCAGCCCGGCTGTCATCTCTTGGTTTTAGTGTCCCATCTGTCAAAAGCCCACAGGTCCTCACCCACTCCTCACTCAGGCTTGTCTGGAGGGTGACAGCCTCTGGGCAAGAGATGGGATTTCTGGCTGTGTTAAAGCTCCAGGAAATGGCTCCTTGCAGCGTGCGGCCACACTGGGCTTGGCCCTTGGAGTCTTGGGGACCTAGGCTGTGTGATGGTCCGAGGGTGTCAGGTCTCCCCTGACACAGCACCAGCATGGCACTGTGCCTTAGAGCCCCTGCTCCCATGCCCACCAGGCCGCCCCCTGCGCAGGGCCCCTCCTCTGGCATCAGCCCAAGCCGGGTTCAAGTTCCTGCTTGAGTGAGAGCCAGTTCAGAGATGTGGACCCCCAAGTCCTCTTCCTTTCTGGCTATGTGACTGGATAAGCTACCCCCCCCCTCCCAGGACTCCTTTCCTGGTCTGTGCAGTAGGATGGGAAGGCACCACCGTGAGTCACAGCGTATGAGCCCAAGTGGTCGTCGAATTCGCCCACGGCCCTGCCTACCCAACACGGGCTCCTCTCCTCATGCTGTCCCCTCCCCCCAGGCGATCTCTCTGGCCACCTCCTTGCCTACCTGAGCCTTGGGCCTGTGTTCGTCATCGTTGGTTTTGTGACCCTCATCATCTTTAAGCGGGAGCTGCACACGGTGAGTCTGTGCCCGCTGCTCCTGCCCCTGTCTCGAAGCCCCTCCCCAGGCCGGGCAGGTCCTGTGCTCCAGGCAGTCGGAGCTGTGATCACCGGGAGAGGGTGGTGGCCGACGGGTGTCCCGGAGGTCCAGCTGAGTACGTATCTTTCCCGGCAGATCTCTTTCCTGGGGGGTCTGGGACTGAACGAAGGGGTCAACTGGCTGATCAAACACGTCATCCAGGAGCCGCGGCCCTGCGGAGGTAGGGCCCGGGCTGGGGTACGGGGGCCCCTGGGCTGGGGCATCACCCCCTGATGCCTGGTCTCTTTCTGCCCTAGGGCCCCACACAGCAGTGGGTGTTAAATACGGGATGCCCTCCAGCCACTCCCAGTTCATGTGGTTCTTCTCTGTCTATTCCTTCCTCTTCCTGTATTTAAGGTGAGCTTCTGGCCCAGCCTGGGCTGTCTGGGGTGTCCTCTGGGGTGGGAGAGCCTTCGAGATGGCTGATGGCTCCAGCAGCATTTGGCTGGGGCTGGGGCTGTTTAGGGGCTGAGCCCCAGATGGGCCTGTCTTTCCAGAATGCACCAAACGAATAATGCAAGGTTCCTAGATCTGCTGTGGAGGCACCTGCTGTCCCTGGGGCTCCTCACTGCAGCCTTCCTGGTCTCCTACAGCAGGTACAGGGAGGGACCTCCACCTGCATCAACTCAGGCCCTTGCTGGGATCTTGGTCCCCGTGGGGACCCACTGTGACTTACGGAGCTTGAAGGGCAGGGCCAGAAAGGCTCCCAGGCCCCTGTTCTAAAGGGATGGGGCTCTGGTGCCTCCCTTAGCCCAGTTTGCTGACCCTACAATCCTGGAGACACCGGTGTACACTGGCCATGGATGCCTAGATCCCCCGAGCTTGCAAGCTGAGTAGGAGGACAGCAAACCCTGGCCGAGCCACCATCTAGAGACCAGGGCAGTGGTGTCCTGCGGGCCCAGGCAGCTAAGCTGTAGCCTTGTCCCAGGATCTGCCCTGCCTGTGTGGCTCTCTGAGCGTGCACACAGGTCCCTGGGCAGCCAGCCGTGGTGCGGGCCACCATGCTGCCTGTCCCCAGGGGCTCTTGTAAACTCCCCTTCTGGCCTTGGCCCAGGGTCTACCTGTTGTACCACACCTGGAGCCAGGTGCTGTACGGGGGCATCGCTGGAAGCCTCATGGCCGTCGCCTGGTTCGCCTTCACCCAGGAGGTCCTCACCCCGCTGTTCCCTAGGATAGCAGCCTGGTAACTGCCTCCTGCCCCTCCTGCTCCCAGCTATGTGGCCTTGTCCCCTCCCGAGTGCTGATTCTATGTCTGGACCCCAGTCCAGTCCCCCTGGGAGGGCAGTGGCAGGCCTAGGCGGTAGGAGCTGCAGGCCACTTGCCCGGTGCGCCCTCCCCAGGGACTTGGTCCTCTGTCCTTGCCTAGGGACTTAGAAAGCAGTCTGAGTCCTGCTGGGCTGTGAGGGCTGCAGAGCAGCATCCCTGCCTGATGATGTGACGCTCAGTGGCTCTGGGGCTGCAGGCCAGGCAAAGACACTGTAGGCAGCCGGGCAGGGGGCAGGGGGCAAGGCGGGCCCCAGGAACTGGGGAGGCCCTGGCGTGGTTGGGTACAGCACTGGTCCCCAAGCATCCCTCTGTCCCTGCAGGCCGATCTCCGAGTTCTTCCTGATCCGGGACACCAGTCTCATCCCCAACGTGCTCTGGTTTGAGTACACAGTGACCCGGGCAGAGGCCAGGTGAGTGACGGGGACAGCGAACCCCACTGCCCTGTACCTACGGGGATCCCCGAAAGACAGGTCCTTGCTTGCTTTTCTTGCGTTGCCCCGTTGAATTCTTTTGTGGCCCCACTTTATGGATGAGGACGCTGGAGCTCCGGGAGAAGGGAAGTCTCTGCCCAAAGTCTCCTGGTGAGCGGATGGGGAGCTGGTTGTCCCAGAGCCCTTGCATAGAACCTGTGTAGCTCAGAACCTGGAGCTCGTCCCAAGGTCCTCAGGGGCCCTGCATGTGGCACCCATGGGGCTATTGAGCCAGGTGACGTAGGGTAGCTGGGAAGCGAGGCACACAGCAAGTGGGGGCAAGGCTGGGCTTCCGGGCCTCCTGGCTTGAAGTCTTTCCCCAGTGTACACCGATCCTGGGCCAGGGGAGTGAGGTTTTCCCAGGAACCTTCGAGGAACCTGGGCCAGGTGGGGCCCAACAGGAGGTGTTTGGTGCATCAGGATCCAAATGGGCCTTGATGAGTTTAGATCGAAGTGGAGATCTGGGAGGAAAAGGGATCTGAAGGTTAGGGCAGGCCAACTCATCCCCTTAGTGGCAGAAAGGCTACCTGGCTCTGCTGAGCTCATCACCTGGCTGCCCCCAGTGGCCCTGCCCTGCCCTGCCCTGTCCTGTCCTGCCCTGCCCTGCCCTGCTCTGCCAGCTGCCTTAATTCACCCACACCTACCCTGGCCACTCGGGGCGCTGGGAGTGACCTAGTGAGATAGCCAGCCACGGCCCCACACAGTCCCTACAGCAGGGCTGTGTGATTCAAGCTGGGTAGCAGTGTAGTGGCCTGAGAGCTGGTGGCTGGGACCAATGTGGGGTTGACTCGTGGCAGCCGGCAGGGGACTCTTGGCAGCCAGCACAGAGTCTCGGGGTAAAGCCCCTGGCAGTGCCACCACTGGTGGGAGGAGGGCGTGGGGCCCGGCAGCCGGGGCCTCCTGGGCCGCAGTGAGGCTTCGGGTTTCTGCTGGGACCCTGGGTGAGCACTGTCCTCCTGGGTCTCAGTCAGCATCTCAGGAAAATAAGGACAATTGCTCCCCTCCCCAGCCCTCAGGTTCCTGGGCTGTCCTCGCTGCCCGGTCCCCTGAATCCCAAGGGTCTCCTGCGACTGCTGACACAGCTCCCGACTCTGAGCTTACTGCCTGCCTGTTGAGTGCAGCCTGGCTGGGTGGAGGTGCTGCTGGGCCCCCTGGGCTGCCTGCCCTGCTGGGCTGCAGAAACCCAGAGCCAACCTTGGGCCCGGGCCACTAACCCTCACGCTGCCCCTGCCCTGGTTGCAGGAACCGACAGCGCAAGTTGGGTACGAAGCTGCAGTGAGTGGCAAGCGTGGCTGGGTCCAGCCTTCACATCCAGGCCACGCGGTGCCTCACAGGGTGGACAGCATGACAGACGGAGGGATGAGCAGGGACCTCTGCAGACCCAAGTCGCCAAGCGGAGCCTTTTTATTTTCTTATTTTAATTTTAATGGACAAGGTGGACCAAAGGGCTGAGCCGGCCCCTCAGCCAGCACCTCTGGAGGCCCTACTGCCCGGGGCCATGTGGCCAGGGACCCTCGCTGTGTCATCTCGAGTCCCCGGCAGGGTGGAGTGCATCCTTGGCACGGTTGCCAGGGGTGGGAAGAGAGTGGGGGCTCACGTCCGTAGGCTTGGGCCGGGCGCTCTGGGGCTCAAGGCGCGAGCACTATTTATCATTTCGTCACAGGCAGGAGGGGGAGTCAGATGCAGTGTGGGGGGGCCCCTGACGCCCCTGCCGGAGCCTCTCAGTGTTTGCCGGACGGGGCAGGGCTGGAGCGAGCTGTGGCCGGCAGCTGCTGTCCTTGTGTTCTTCCTGGTCCCTGCCACATACCACAAGGGCTTTCTCTGGTCCCGTGCCCAGCACGGGACGACTGTCCCTTGGTGACAGAAGAGCCTGCACATGTGGGTGCGTGCACCCAGGCTGTTTACAGCTCTTCCTGTCCCGCCGTAGCACGCAGTCCTCTTCCCGCTGCAGCAAGGCCGGCTGCAGCCGCCGAGCCCTGTCCGTGTGTGTGGAACCGTCCCCACTAGGGACCTGTGTGGGACCACTCAGGCCTGCGTCTGCAGGCGCAGGAGGGTGCCTAAGGGACCCGTGGGTCACCGGGCGCTCTCCCCGAGTGCCCACCGGCCGTGTCTGCCCTCCCTGTGGAGGTCCCCAACCTGCTGCTGAAGCACAAGTTCCCGGTGCTTTCCCTTCTCTTCGTCCAAGGCCGTGTCCGCGGCCATTCCAGATGCCAGGACCAGGGCTGATTCCTGGGGAGCAGGTCAGCGCCCCGTTTCCCTCCCCTCCCCTTAGGGTTTTTATTTTGTACTTTTTTGCCTGAGATAAGCCAAGTGTGAGGTGGTTTGATTTCAGAAAAAAAAAAAAATCAATGAAATTGTTTACTATTGTTTTAAAATAAAATCTTAAACTCTGGTGGCTGAGTCACGTGCTGACTGGGCTCAAGAGGCTCTGGCAACACAAAAGCCCCGGACATGGTGTGACTGAGACTAGAAAGTGAACATCGACTCTCCACACTTGTACTTGGGACCCCTGGGAGGCTGAGACATGAGGGCCACGAGTTCGAGCCCAACTCGGGCACCCTGGTGAGACCTTGTATGAAAAAGTAGAGGGCTGGGGTGTAGCCCAGCTGAGGCCTCGGTTCAGCCCCCTGTATCAAAAGTCAGGCGGCCCCTCCCACCCCTGGCCCCCAAGGCAGGGATCTGGTGGCCTCTGTAGCTTTTCCCACTGGCCGGCAAGGAGGCTGCATCACCGGGGTCAGGCGGTGCTAGGGCTCCTGGGGGCCCAGGGTGGCCTCAGCAAGCCACACTTGAAACAGCCCCTGCAGAGGTACCAAAGGATGCGGAGGTCTCGGGTCAACCTGGGGTGGCCCACGCCAGCTACCCCAGTGCACTGCAGCCATGGCCCCAGTGAGGCCCAGGCGCCAGGTAGTAAGAGTCCCGGGGTCAGTCCCCGGCAGAGAAAGATCACCACGGAGCACCTTGTGTAGGGCTCCGTTGCCTGCTCCTGGGGGCCCAGGGTGCAGTGAGCCCACCTTCATGTGGCCCAGCTTCGAGGCCTAGCCTGGCAGGAGGGGCCTTCACCTCTGCCGTGGCCTCCCCCAACCCTGGACAGCTGGGCAATGTGCACGGCAGCTGTGAACCATGTGGGCTCCTCAGACCCTGGCCTGGAGGGAACGAGTGTGTCCCCTCGGAACTTCTGCCCAGCTATTTATAGTGTCCTGGCAACTTCACCTCTGTGAACCTATTTCCCATCTGAAAGCTGTGCCCATCGAAGTCCTAGCATTCTGGGAGGCTGAGGCAGACTGTGAGCTCAAGCCCAGCCTCAGGGACTCGGGGAGATGCCAACTCCACAGGAGCCAGGGTTGGAACTCAGGGTGAAGGCCCTGGGTTTGCTCTCTTGTGTTGCCAAAAACAAGGGCGCTAACAACCCATAAACGATGGGCTGCAGCCTCATCCTGGGGCTTGAACCCAGGGCTCCATTACTGAGCTACACCCCCAGCTAGTTTTATTTGAGACAGGGTCTCACTGAGGTGCTTACACTGGCCTTGAACTTGTCATCTTCCTGCCTCAGCCTCCCACACAGCTGGAGTTACAGGCGTACACACCGTGCCCAGCTTGGTGCCAGCATGGCCAGGGCAGGCCTGCAGCTCTGACCAGGAGGGCATCTGTCCTGGTGGTGACTGGACTGTGAATGCCCATCGCTGCTGTCCCACCTGCCTGGCTCCATGTGCCCTGGGTGGCAGCCCGAGGACTGCTTGGCACCTCTGGGAGCCGCTGGGCACTGGCTGAGCCAGAAGCAAGGCCAGCCTTTGACCCGCCACCTGCCACTCTGTGGAAACACATCTGCACGAGCACGGTCTTCTTTATTACTCAACTTCCAGTTCATTCACCCGTGTGACGCAGGGCTCCGCAGGGCCAACAGGAGCTACGTCATCCATGGTGGCCACGTGGGGACAACCCCTGGAGCATCCATCCCCTTGAGCTGGCCCCTGCCTGGAGTGGCCCACAGCCCTTAGCCACAGCGAATCCTATCTCCAGGTCTGTGGGAGATGGGCAGTGAGGAAACGCTGGCTGGTAAGCAGCTGGGGAACAGGGAGGGAAAGGGGCTCCCTGAGAGCTTCTCCCCGTCTGGGGCAATACGGTGGGGGCCAGGGCCTGTGTCCTCCAATCTGTTCAGCTCAGTGACCCCAGCCCTCGGGCTGCAGCAGACCCTTCCTGGGGACAGTAGTGGAAGGCACTTGGCTTAGGGCTGCAGGTTCCACAGGAGGATGCTGGCCCTGGCGTGGGCAGACCATGCGTCAAGCCCGGTGGGTGCCCATCCTGGGGGACTGGACCAGGGCTGAGGGCTCAGAGCTTGGCCTGTGGGTGGCGCCGCAGCAGCTCGCGCATGTCCAGCAGTGCCTTCTCCAGGTAGTGCGCCATGCGGGCGGCGTTGGTCTCGGCGCAGCTGTTGTAGGCCGATACGGAAACATTCATGTGGCTCTCCATGGGGTTATAGCAGACACCGTAGCCGTCAGGGACCACAGGCCCAAAGAACATGACACAGTCCGTCCTGGCGGGGACCTGGAGAGAGCAGGATCCCAGTGTTTCCACCTGCCTGCCCACAGCGGCCTCAAAGGCCCTGCCAGACGCCCTCTCCCAGTCCCTAGCACAGCACTGCCCCCTTTCATCTGTGGACGAGTGATCCCAGGGTCATTTCCTCTGTAGGGGCCCTGGCTTTCCCCCCTCCCTCGTCTGCCCTGCTGACCCCAGCACCCAGCACGGGCTGACACAGATCAGGTGACTGCTGATAACCAAATGAATGACAAGGCCGGGTACCTCAAGGGCTGGGGGCGCCTGCCCACCTTCTGGGGTTGCCCTATACCCCCGCCCCCACTCCTACCCCCTGGGAACCTCCATCCACACGACCCCAAGCCCCAGCCCCGGCAGGGTACAGTGCCCACCTGGCTGGTGGAGAGGTTGAAGTGCATGGCAATGGCGTAAGAGGTGTCCATGAAGATGTCAGGTATGCTCACCAGGTCCTCGATGGCCTGCAGCTTAAGGCCCAGCAGGTGGCGGTCGAAGGCCTCCCCTCGGATGGCCTGGGGAAGGAGCCATCAGAAGCAGTGCAAAGCCACAGGTGGCCCTCACTCTCCTCAGCATGACCCTTCCAGCAAGGTGTGGGCACCCACTCACCCGGTCAGTGTAGGCGCGGTGTGCTTGCACAGCTTTCCGCAGCAGCTCCGCCTTCTGGTGCTCCTGGGGAGCGGGAGTGAGAGGGGCCGAGATGCTGTCCCTCCTTGTGCCTCAAGAGCCCACTGTCCCTCTAGTGCTGAGCTCCAAGCTCCTTTGGAGCTCATACTGTAGCTGCCATATCCTCAGTCCCCAGCAGGGCGGACACGCACTGCTGGTGGGTGAATGACTGAGCAGATGGATGGATCTTTTCTCTTGGGGTGCCAGGAAGCACAAAACTAAAGTCCCAGCTCCATCTTGTTAAGATTCCCACTGCCCATGTCAGGGCTGGGATCCTGCAGGCAGGTGGCTGGAGTGCACTGACAGGGGGCACAGCCAGCACAGGTCCCCACCCACCTGGGCCCTCACCGTTATGCTGGAGTCATCCATGGCCTTGGTGAAGGCCAGCGAGTCCGTGGAGGCCGATCGGATGGTGTCGGTGCGGCCTAGGTGGAACATGCGCAGGGAGGCACTCTCGTAGGTGGCGCAGGCCTGCCCGTAGATCCTGCAGGAGGGACACTTAGCACTGTCCCCAGGGCTGCCCGCCCACCTGCCTGGCCCCTGGGCATGGGCCCACCTGTAGTAGGCCAGCTGCAGGGCCATCTGGAAGAAGCCATCCGGGCTCAGCTTCTGCGACTTGGGGAAGTCCTTTCCGAAGTGGTGGAACACCAGCACCATGAGGTCCAGGTCCTGGATCATGCTGGGGGGCCGCAGTAGGTGAGAACGGGCCCAGGAGCTGCTGCCCAGTGGGGGCCCAGGAGCAGGGGCCGGGGGGCACGATGACAGTTACCTACATGCTGAGGTGCTGCTTGGCCTTCTCGATGTCACTCTTGATTTCTGGGGTGATGTTGAAGCGCAGCTTCTTAGGCATGGGCAGGGGCACCATGGGCGAGCGCACCAGCTCGGGCTTCTTCCTGCGGGGGGGCAGAGTGGGGCTGGGGGCCGCACTGGTCCTGGTCACGGCTAGGAAGTGCTGCAGCCAGGATTCAGACTCAGGTCCTCTGTCTGCTTCCCTTCAAGAGACTGATTCCCAGGGGCAAGGGACAGTGACACCCAGACCTGCAGCTCACCTGTCACCGGGAACTGGGGAACGAGGCTGTGAGCCACTCACATGTATGCCATGACGTGGTCCACAAGGGCAATGATGGGGGGCCCCTCGGCTGCAGCATGCTCGTAGACCAGCCCACAGGAGCCGTCCTCCGCCACGATGAACTGCGGGGGATGGACATCAGCTGCCGCTTTAAAGCCACCTCAGGGGGTGACACTGCCTGTGTGATGTTAGCAACAGCTACCATCTGTCAGCAATCTGGCCTTCACAGTTCTTCCTGAACTCAAGGGCCTGCACTGGGGCATTTTCCTGTCACCCCAATCCCGGGCACAGTAAGCAATGGTGGTGTCTGACCCCAGACACCCTCTGACATGTGAAAGGGCAGGGGACAGAGGCCCAGTCATCACTGCGCGTCCAACCTGCTGCTTCCCACCTGCTTTAGGAGCAGAGCAGAGCAGCGCAGCAGCGGCCCGGCCCAAGCAGCCGCCCGGCCGCCCCACCTGCAGTGTCTTGTCGAACCAGCGGTTGCCACTGTTGAGCGCGCCGCCGCCCCCATGCAGCATCTGGCCGGCCACGTGGTTGCGGTAGACGTCCTCAGAGACACGGGGCACCGGCCTGTCCAGGCACACAGTGAAGATGCTCTTCTGGATGGAGCGCACTGAGTCCCGGTTCACCTTGTCTGTGGGCCACAGGGCAGGGTGAGGCTGGGGTCCTGCAGCCCAAGTGCCTGCTGGGGAAGCCCTGCTCTACCTGCTGGGTGAGTGGCCTTGCAGACAGGGCCCTGCCACAGCACCCCGGCCCCCGCCTGCCAACTCACTGGGGACCTGGGCCAGGCCGCCCACCCAGGGTGGCACCTTTGACAAGCGTGCTGCAGGCCTGGGCCCAGCTGTTTCGGTGGCTGGAAGTCAAGATGCCCACTGGCTCCTTGTTGGTCTGCAGGGACGAGTTCCAGATCTTCTCCAGCTGCACGAAGAGCTGGTCGGAGGTGAGGGGTGTCCCATCGCTGTGGTACACATCCAGCTCGAAGAACTGCGAGGCGAGGAGCGGGGAGGTCACCTCGGCCAGGGGGGCAGGGAGGCAGCCAATGGGGCCTGCACCACCCACCTGGTAGTTGTGCACCACGGTGATGTGCAAGGGCGGCCGCTTGGTCCTCAGGAAGTTGACCACAGAGTCCTGCTTGGGGCCCGGCACGCGGCAGGAGGACAGGATCTGGTAGTACTGGTTCATGCACAGTGGCTGTCCCCCAAGATGCTCCACAGGCAGGGTCTCGCTGCGGGGCAGGGACAGTGAGGCCTCAGTAGGGAAGCGGGGGTGATGGATGGCCCTGTGGGGCGGGGTCTCTACTCCTTGTTAGCATGCACAGGCCATTGGGCCCAGGGGCTCCGAGGTCTGTGCTCCCCTGGTGGGAGCCCTGTCTACGAGTTACACAGAAACTCCTGCTCTGGACTTTAGTTTGCTACAGGGGACAGAAGTCAGCAAGTCAGCTTCTGGGATCCTCTCATTTTTTTTATTTTTGAGACAGGGTCCTGCTATGCAGTTCAGGGTAGCGTTGAACTCATTATGTAGCCCAGGCTTATTCTGAACTTGCATAGATCCTCCCCTGCCTCAGCCTCCGGAGTGCTGGAATGGCAGATGTGTGCCACCATACCCAGCTGGGGGTCATCCTGGCTTGGGATGGGTCAAGGTCAACAGGAACTCAGTCCAGCAGCGGCAGCAGAAAACCTAAGGGTCCCAGTCACCAGTCATAGTGTGCTATCCCCAGCCCTGGCTGAAGCTTGGCCAACAGGAAGTGGAAAGGACTGCCCTGGGCCTGCCCAGGGGCCAAGGTGGCTGTGGGTGGACTGCTTGCTCACTTGTCAATCATGGTCTTGAAATCCAAAACGCCCTCGATGAGTTTGGCAGCAAACCTGCAGGATCGGTTAGAGATGTGAGGCTGTGTGGACACCGGGACCTGGGTCAGGGACACGACCTGGGGGGAACCCCAGAGCCTGGGATTTCTTCCTCCCCTCCCTGCCTAGGAGCGCTGGCTGTCAGCAGGGCCGGGGCAGTGGTGCAAGGTTCCCTCTGCTGGGGCCCTCCTTCCCCTCCCCCTCTTTCCTCCTCCTTTCTTTCTTTCTTGTACTAGGGGTTGAACCCAAGGCCTTGCCCATGCCCAAGCACCTAGCCACCACCGGCCCTGCATCGGAGCCAGGGCCTTCGCACTTAGCTATACTCCCAGTCCCTCTGTTTTGTTCCCAAACGGGTTCTCTCTAATTGCTAAATCGCCCTTCAACTTGGGATTCTCCCGTCTCAGCGTCCCAGAGTGCTGGAATGATAGGTGTGCGCCACCAACCCCAGCACATTTTGAGACAGGGACTTTCCCAGGCTGGCCTCAAACTTGTTATCTTCTTGCCTCAGTCTCCCTGCAAGTGTCATCTGGCCAGGCAATCCATCTGGGTATATGTGGACGATTTCTTGGCCCAGATCAGTCATGGTCAATACCTGTGGCCACATAGCTCTAACCTGGGGACTACTAGGTGGGCTTTCTGGGACCAAGCCCAGGCCCTTTCCAGGGGGCTCTGGTCCTTTATTCTTTTTTCCAGGGCTGGAGATAAACCCAGGGCCTTGGACATGCTAAGTGAGTGTTCTACTGCTGAGCTGTGGCCCTGGCACTTTCTCTTCTGTTCTCTCTTTCTCCTTTTTCCCCTGCCCTGGCCCTTTAAGAGACACAGGTTCAGCAGAGAGCTGGCCTGGTGCAGGATCCTGGGCTATATTTTTATCTCTGATCGGACTAGAACAAGGGCCAGGGCAGGTGCCAAGGCAAATGTGGAAAAGGGAACTATGTACAAAGGTCACTGCTGTGTTCAGCAGAGGACTGCAGAGGGAGGAATAGTTATGGCACTCTGCTAGTAGAGACTCTACCTCCTGTACCTTCATGCCCAGCCTCAGTTTCCCCCTCTGTAAAGCAGGGTGGTACACCTGTTTCACAAGGCATTTTTTCGGTACCAGGAATTGGAACTCAGGGCCCCGCACCTGCCAGGCAGGCACTGAGCCGCTGAGCTACATCCCTGGCCTCATGAGGCATTTGTGGGGATAACGGAAGTGTGGCACCAGGGCTGCTGCCGTCTCATGGGAACAGCCCCTCTTGGGGCTGGCCACTCACCGGAGTTGGCCCTGCAGATCTACGAAGTCCTGCTTGGGCAGCATCAAGCCCGGGCTGGAGCAGATGACCACAGGCTGGCGGTACTGGAGGTAGGCTGTCTTCAGCCACCATTCGGACAGCTGGGAGAGTGGCAGACCAAGTCAGGGGCACCGGGACCCGGCTGGCCCTGCCCTGCCACAGGGGCTCCAAGTGACTGTTGAGGCCTGGTATACCCTGTCCTGTCCCTCTGACCCACAGTCTCCCCCGCAGGAAAGTCTGGAAGGAAACCCGAGGTGGGGGACAGGAGGATGCACGAGTTTTCTTCTCTTCCTTGCCGTGCTGGGGTGAGAACCTAGGGCTGTGTCCACGACGAGCACACAGTGTCCCCAGGTTACATCCAGCCCCAGGTCCATCAGTACCGATGAACCCCGAGAGATGGAAGGACAGAGGAGAGTGACGTAAAAGCCACCTCCAGCCGGTGAATGCCTGACTTTCTCAAGCTGCAAACTGTCCCAGGAGACAGGGCAGCCCAAGGGACTCCTCAGTGGCCTGTTCTGCCAGTGACACACTGGGGAGGGGACAGCCACCTTGATCCCAAGGGCAGTCTTGAGAGGGGGCTCATAGCAAGGACAGACGATCATGCTGGTGACAAGATGTCTCCTGAGGGCCTGCTGGGGACCAGCCATAGGCACAGGGCCGCACTCCTGAGGACTGTCAGCCTACCTTCCTGCTGACAGCACCTTACACACCGCTCTGCTCCCCTAGCCCTACTGCCACCCCACCCAGAGACTCCTCATGGGGAATGGCTGCTCCCCGGCACCAGGCCCCTCGCCCAGGGCCTCAGCATGAGGCAGGGAAGTGACTGATCCTTCCCCTTCTGACTCACTGCCCACAGACCTGGCACTGGACCAGCTAGGCACCTGGTGTAGCTGGGGCCACTACGGGAGCTGCTGCAGCACTCTGGGCCTCAGCTTCCTGGACAGCCAGGAGAGGCCAATGGGGCTATCAGAGCCTCTGGCTGTGCCTGTGACGCCCCCAGGGAGGCTGCCACGTGGTGGCAGAGCCACTTTGGGGGCACCATGCATGGGGAGGAGGTGTCCCTGCCTTCTGAGCTCTGGTTTCACAGGGTGGCTAGCTCAGCCACCTGGAAAACCCCCAGCCCCCACCCTTGCGTGGCCTCTTCAGGGCCAACATCCTCACTCTTGACCCTGAGGCCATGCCCTGCTAAACTCACCTGCCTCTCAGCTCCCATGGGCAGCAGCCTTAGGCTCAAGGTTCCATCTGCCCCACCACAGCCCTACTGTGTCCCACGGTCTGTTTTTGCTGAGGACTTGCCCCCTCTCCCCTGCAACACTGGCCCAGGCCACCTGCATCTCCCTGGGGCGAAGGTACCGTCCTCCCCAATGCCTTGGCCTCCCACTCTCTCCTCCCCACCCAGCACCTGGGTGGAAGGGAAGGCCAAGAGCGGGGAAGTAAGGGCACAAAGCACCACATGTACTCATGTACAGAGCCAATGCGCCTGCGTGAAGCAAATGCAGGGAACCTAGGTCACAATTCATCAGCTGTCCCGCCTTCCAGGAGTCCCCACCCTCTCTCCTCGGCTGCCCCCTCACCCAAAACTCCCCTCTAGCCTCATCCCACACACCAGGCTGTTGCCCCTGGCTCAGATCTGGGGGCCCTCCTCCCACCCACCCTGCCTACTCCACAGAAGGAAGTGGCCAGTGTCCTGTGCGCTGCCTGCTGGGGCCTCGAAGACTCGAATTCTGCTCACTGTGTGCCCACCAGCTAAGAGGCTACCCCTGTGCTGGGCCAAGCTGGGCCATGCCGAGCACAGGTGAGTACCCAGAAATCTTCATAGGGCAGAGCAGGGACAGCAGGCCCCGAAGCGTCCAGCTGTGTGGCCAGCAGCCACCATGGTGAGCAACCCTGGGGGACCCTCCAGACTCACCCAGTTTTCTGTCTTCCTTGCCCTGCGCTCCAGCCCCTTCTGCAGCCGCTCCCCGACACCCCCGGGGCTGCGGAACTCATCCACTAGCTGCTTGGTGGCGGCCCACTCCTCCTCGCTCACGATGGGCTGCAGTGCCCTGAGGTAGTGGTCCAGGGATTGCTGCAGTGGTGGCACCGGCAGCCGAGGCAGTGCATCCTGGTGCGCCTTCAGCCTGCCGGGTAGCTTCATCATAGATGAGGGCTTGAGGAAGCCCAGCGGCTTCGCCTGCAGGCAGGAGATCACCTTGCTCATTTCCTCTGAAGCTCCAGGAGCCCACTGTTCCCCGAGCCAAAGTACTGGGCACTTATGTGCCCATCCCCGGGTGGGTAGAGGTGGCCTCATGGGTGGTGCTCAGCCGGGCTTCCCAACCCTGAGATTTCGGTGTCCCCGCCTCCCAGGGACTTCGACTTGCAGGTAGGCACAGGGAGGGCTGGGTGTGGCCCAGGGGATGCCAGTTGGGGTTCACACCACTGTGAGAGGAGCAGAGGTGAGGGCACCCACCTACTGTATGAAAGCACAGACTCCACCTTTCCCTGGGAAGACAGGTTGCCCAGACTAGGGACTCCCTCTCCAAGGCCTTACCTCCTTTCCCTTCACCCCTTCTAGACTGAGAAACAGGATCTGAGAGGGGTACAGAGACCCTGACAGTGAGGCCTCTGGTTTTTTTTTCCTGCCTGGGGATTGGAGGCTGGGGCGTAGGGCAGCAAGAGAGAGATTGGTGGCCTGGCACAGAGGGCGAGCAGTGGCGGAGATGCAGGCAGAGGTAGCCCGGGAGGTTCTGGAGGCAGCAGAGAGAGAGACAGGAGGATCCCAGGCTGCTGGCACGGCGGCAGGCAAGCGGCAGAAGCCCCGTTCCATACCTGCTCTCTCTGCTGCCGTCCTTCACAGCTGGAGTGAGGTCCTGACCCTGTCTGCCTCGGCTGGATCACTATGCCTAACTGTGCTACCCAGGGCTGAGCGGAACCTAGCAAGAGGCAGCCACCTGCCTAGGCTGGAAAGAAAAAATAAGAGCCAGGGTTCAGGGGGGAAAGGCAGGACAGTAGTGGCTCCGGCTAGGGTGGCCTCTGAGGGGGGGAAGAAGCTACTTGATTGTGACAGCAGTCCACACTAACTTTCCGGCTGGGAGGAATGGGGCACAGGTAAGCGGCTGGCAGTGGGCACTGCAGTGGGAGGGGAACAGGAAAGGTTCCCCTTTCTTCTCCGGATGGGCCCAGTGCCAGGAATGTGGGCCAAGAGGCATTAAAAATCCATCTGCTAAAATCCACACAGATGTCTTAGATGTGGGAAAACTTGGGTGCAGGGCCAAAATGGCTGGCTTATAAGCCACTGTGGCTCCAAAATCAGCCCTGCACACAGGGACCGGTCCCTAGAATAGGCCTCCAAGAGCCCGCCCTCCACCCCCAACTCCTGGGCCTTTCCTGCTCTATGTGAAAGCCTGAGTTTTCTGAGCTATTGGTGCTCCAGCTGCTGGCCCAAAGTATGGGACTTCTGGCAGCAAAAAAATAAGCCAAAGGTCACTGGTTCGAGGAGTGGACTACATGAGAACTAGCCATTGCCGGCCAGTTGCCCCAGCAGGGAGCTTATCAGGCCAGTGTGATGGTCCTGGATGCCCTAGAGGTGCCAGTGGGACAGGGGCTGGCTCTGCTGGCCAGGAATAGAGTGAAGAGAGCACTCAGAGGTTGGGACACCTAAGGAGTCCTAAGTCCAAGCTAGACATGAGCCCTCGGCTGCTGGCCATGAGTGTCTGTCCCCAAGAGACAGAACCCAACAGGGAGAGACATCCTTGGATCAGAGAGGACAGCGACTCAAATGATAGCGCCTTGCAGCTGGGGAACACAGGTGAGAGGTGGTCAGGGTGAGGGGCTGGCGGGAGGCAGGGCCACGCAGGCTGCCCCTGTCGCCTCTGCCAGCTCCCAGGCCTTTCTGCCAAGCCCAGCTTGCCCCCTCCACGTGAGCGTCTCTGGTCACAAGCTGATCCGCGGGAGCCAAGGGCACGGGCCCGCCGCCCGGCCCGGCTGAGATTGGCTGCGGCCGGCCAAAGGGCGTGCGGGCCCAGGACGAAGGCGGGGCTGCCCGGCGAGGGGTCTAGCAGCCCTTTGGGGCTCCGCCACTGTCCGCCCGGACCTCAACCTCCACGTCCTCCGCCGAACGCGGGGAGCCCCCGGGACACCACTCCGCAGCCCTCGACGGCCCCCTCGCGCGCCCCGTCCGGGTGCCACCGCACACTCACCGCGGTCCTGGCGGCAAAGGCCAACATCGTCGCGGTCCCCCGTGGACACTCAGTCCGCTCAGCCCTGCGCTGGACTAGGTTCGAGTCTCTGCTGGGTCGCTGGGTCCCCGCTAGGGCTCAGGGGCCAATGTCGCCGAGTCACTGCCGCTAGCAGGGAAAGGGGGCCGGGCGCCCACCCTCCGGCCGGGCGGGCCGCGGGCGGGGGCCTAGAGGCGGACTCGCGGGCGGGCCCTCGGTGCGCGACCCGGGCGGCTAGCGGGGCGCGGGGCGGGGCCGCAGAAGGGGGCGGGGCCCGTAAAGGGGCGGGGAATGGGCGGGGCCCGCAAGGCGGCTGAAGGGATGGGGCTGCGGCAGTTGGCGGTTAGCGACCCCGCAAGGCTTTGGAACTTCAGCGGGGATGCTCGGTGGAGGTCTCTACCGCCCTCACGTGCGTGTCTAAACTGTTGCAGCGCTGTGTTCCTTCCGTACCGTGTCTTTGAGCGTTCCTCTCAGAGTGGCAGGAAAGTACAACCACGTTACAAGGCCCTGTCCTCTCCTATTCCTCGCGTTAGGCTCAGTGCCACGCCTAAGGATGACAAATGGGGGACTACCCACAAAGACATGGCAGTCTCCTCAACGCTGACGCCCCGCAGAAGTAGGGCTGCAGGGCGCCGTGTTTCCCCGCAGGCTGTTTCCGCTACTGCGCATGCGCCGCGACGCCCCGCACTAATATGGCCGCCGCTGCCAAGGGCGCATGCGCCGCTGTCCGGCCGTTAGCCAGAAAGCTCCCAGCCTGCCCCGCACCAGCATGGCGGCGGTCTTTGCTGGGCTCACTTCAATTTTCGCTTTTTGATGGTAGCCGGGCCGGTACTCATTTCTCTTCCGCAAGCTCGGAATTCGTGGCGGGAACCGTGTCGAGGGAAGGTGCTGCTGCGAAGTTGAGCGGAGCCCGTGAGGATCCGGGCGGGCTGCTGGCGGCAGAAGATGGCTGAGAGCGAGCCGCAGCCGCCCCCAGGTAGAGCGGGTGGGACCGGGGCCGAGGTCAGGGCTGGGGCGAGGAAGGGGCGTGTGGGGTTTGCACTGGGGCCTCGGGTCCCGAGATGGAGCCACTGGGTGGGGGACAAAGGCTGATGGGCTCCAGGGGGAACAAGAGTTGCAGGGCCTCAAGGAAGTGGAGCTGGGGAGATGGGGGAAGGGCGTGCCCCGAGGCTGCCCAGGGGGAGTCGGGGAGTGCAGCCAGGACTTGGAGACCTCGGGGTGCCCGAATCCCAGGTAGGGATAACAGAGGGGAACCTCTCCCTTATTTTGACAGCGCGTGATTCGATGAAGCTCCTGCTCCGGTGGGACAGTTGCCAGCCATGAGGGCGAAAGGGATTCAGGCGCTGCCTTTTTTATTGGACCTTGCTGGGATAGGCCTGGGTCTGCCTTGCCCTGTTTCACCCTCCTCCACACCTCTGCCCACCTCCTTGTCCTGTCCCTCTCGGAAGCCAGACTCTGTGGTTTCAGTGGCTGAGAGAGTTTATGGGGAGAAACTGCCCTTGGTGTCTGAACCATTAATTTAAAGAGGCTGGTTTTGCAAGGAGATGAGTGTGTGGCGTCCCCGTCTGTAACTTTTGTTTACACCGTGACCTCATTTTAGTTGGGTTCAGATAACTGGGAAGGGAGATAACAGGGAAGGATCGTACACAGATCCCTTTCTTGGAGAAGACTCTGCTTACTGACCTCCTTTGAACTGAGGAGAACTGGACATAAATAACTGAAAATTCTAACAGGAGCAGATAGGTTGGCCAAACATAGCTAATGTTTTGAAAGCATTTGGTATTTCTTCTGTGCTGCCTCTCAGGAGGGAGAAATTTTGAAAATCAGAAGAGGTGTCCCTACTATACTCCCCTCCCCTAAACTGACGAGTGAAGCTGGGGGTTTGGTCTGTTGGGGAGCTGGAAAGCACACGTGTGTTCTGGTTTGTACAGAACCTCTGCGCGAGCGCCTTGTGAGTTCTGGCAGTGACATTAGGAGATACAGAGCAGGGGCTGGGGATTTAGCTCAGTGGCATAAGCGCCTGCCTTGCAAGCAGGCAGTCATGAGTTCAACCCCTGGTACCGATAAAAACGAAAAAGACAAAAAATAAAACAAATAAATAAAATAAAAATAAACTTTAAAAAAAAAAAGGAGATACAGAGCAGCCACACTTAGCTGCGATTGTGCGTGCCTCTGGACATGACTGGGAAACCTGGGTGCTGACAGCGAGAGGGTTCCCTGTGGCTCCTGCAGAGATCCATGGTGTCCACAGAGGCGGCTGTGACGCTTGAAAGGACGTTTTGGATCAATGGAAAGAAGTTCTAGTTAGACAGTGCGGTGGTCAAAACTTTGGATTTTGGCTCTGTGAGCCTCAGTCCACCTGCCTTCCTGTCTTTCTTTCTTATTTATTTATTTGGTTTTTTGAGAGAGGGTTTTGTTATGTCGCCTAGGCTGGCCTCCAGCCCTCCATGATCCACCCACCTCAGCTTCCCAGTGCTGGGTGTTAGGGGTAAGCCACCACACTCAGCTGTAGTCTTTTAAAATGAAGGCACTTGCCTTGTGGCGTTGTAGCGTGTGTTCAAGCAGAAGACACACTACATGGGACATGTCATGGGACCAGTGGGTAGTCACTGGACACCGATTGTTCTTCCTGGCCTTGTACAGGTTGGACATGGACTCCTGTTTTCCAATGGTAAATAATAATCCAGGATACTCTTGGGTTTCATTGTATTTTAGGAACAGCTTTACAGTTCTGGATATTGTTGCCTTACCCGGGAGGTTAGGGGGAATCTTCTTTTCAGAGACAGATAGATACAAAGCTGCAGAGACCAAGTGTGACCTCATTTCTCTCAGTCCTATCTTTAAAACCTTTTTTGGTCCGGGTGTGATCCCAGCATGTGGGAGGCTGAGGCAGGAGATCCCTGTGAGTTTGAGGCCAGCCTGGGCTACATAGTGAGTTCAAGGCTAGCCTGCGCTACATAAATTTTGTTGTTGTTGTTTTCGTTTACTTAGGGCTGTGTATTCTGGCAGTCTGTGTATGTTTCAGCAGTGTTTTGTTGTCGTTGTTGTTTTACCTTGGCCCAGAAGCTCTCTTGCCCGTGCAGTGTCTGGAGGGCCGTCAATGTTCCCAGGGACCATTTTACAGATTGGTTATTTGGAATGTGGAACAGATTTCCCCATAAAACCATATGTATGGTTGGGTTATCAGCCTGGCATGCAAAGCTTATTATTTAGCATCTTACTGAAGTTGCAATTTACTAATAGTAGGGTCCTTGGTTATGGGCTTGGGAACAGGCTTGCACGGAAGAAGGAAAAGGGCTTCCATCTCTTTTGGGGCCCTGGTTTGACTTTTGAGTGAGTGTTGTCCTTCTCCTTAGGTTTCCTGGTCTCTTGCACTTTTCCTGTCCTCAGACCCTTCCAGGCAGGCTGTCACCACCAAATGTCCAGGTTCCAGAACCTTCCTGGGTCCCTGTCACTTCTACTCCATGCAGCTGATGTCAGCCAGGTTTTGGGAGGAAGGCAGTGTCGGGTGAATTTATGTGATGTTGCATCCTTCATGCTTCTAGAGAACTAAGAATTTTTGATTTTTGGAGACAAGGTCTTGCTGTGCAGTTAATGCCAGCATTGAGTTCATTATAATAGCCCAAGCTGGCTCTCCCTGACGGTGGTTCTTCTTCCTCAGCCTCTCCAGTGCCAAGATTATAGGCATGTGCCATCATGCTTGGCTGAGAATTTACATTTTTAAAGGAAATTCTGGCCAGGCATGGTGGTGCACACCTGTATTCCCAGTACTGGGGAGGCTGAGGCAGGAGGATCACCTTGAATGGAGGCCAGCATGAACTACATAGCAAGAAAAAACGTGCTTACTAAGTAAGTGAGTAATTGTGGATAGAGGCCCACAAACTCCCTGATACAATCCCTGGTGGATAGGTGTGTTTTAGAATCCAGAGTTGCTCATATTTTGGAAAATATCACCCCATCATCAAGAAATTATTTCAGCCAATCAAGCAAGTGATTTTACTGAGTGGTTTATATGAAGCCCTTCAGTGTCCTCCTGTCATTTCAGGTTTGATTCTAGATGAGTTTATGATGTTTGTTTAAAGGCTTCTTTGGGTATTGGCACTTTCTGGAGTTTGAAATTATGGATGAGGAATGAGGCTTATGTCTCCTGCTGGCCCACAGTTCTGTGGTGCGGCGCGATATCCCCGCTTTGGTGTGCAGTCGGCCTGCATGTGAGTATGTGGAGCTGTGTTGACTGTTCCTTTTCCTTCAACTTCTGGAGATATAGAAACTCCATGGAAAGTTGTGCCCTCTCATAAAAGCATGGCATGCTTGTTCTTAAAAGTAATAGGTGCCTTAGACAATGAAGTCTTGCCAGGTGCAGTGGTGCATTCCTGAAATCCCAGCTACTTCAAAGGCTGAGACAGGAGGATTGCAAGTTTGGGGTCAGCCTGAGATGCCTGGGCTCCGTCCAACCCCAGCCCTGCTTAGAGATGAGCATGCTCAACCTCGCTGATTATGGGTTTTTTGTTTTGTTTTTTGTCTTTTTCATTTTTATCGGTACCAGGGATCAAACTCACGACCGCCTGCTTGCAAGGCAGGTGCTTATGCCATTGAGCTAAATCCCCAGACCCAAACCTGGCTGATTAAACCAGTGCATTTTCTGGTGTGCACGCTACATGTGCGTGTGTGGCTTATAGTAGCCTACTGCTATTTTGCCAGAAACGAGACACTACATATGACACAGTGCCATTATTTTCTTCCTTTGAGTATCTGGGCTGTCTCTCCTGTGTCCATGCAGTAGATTTTCTTCCTTTCAGGAACTGTGAAGAATGCAGTCATATGGCTGTATTATTTATCTGTCACCTATCGATTGCTGTTTGACTTCTCATTTTTTTCCACACAGTGAGCATCCCACGCGTTTCTGTGTGTACTCTGCAGGTGGATTCTGTAAGAAGAGCTGTTGGCCCAGTGGGTCCTACATGCAGTTTTTGTTCAGGGTGGAGCTCAGGTCTTACGAGTAGCGCTGCCACCAGTACGCCTGACACCTCCCGTTTTCCCTCCTAAGTCAGCATCAGGTGATTTTAGGTGCATCTGGTTTGGACAGGAGGCTACGTGCACCTCACTTGTTTCGCTCCATCAGGAGGTCACTGCTCCTGGGGACAGTGTGTGTCTTGTTCCTCCTGACAGCGGCGTCAGGTTGGTGGGCAGGAGGCGGGTGCATGGTTGTGGAAGACACTGCAGTGACTTGCTCTTTATTCCTCGCACAGCAACAAGGCAGGAGGTGCTGGGGCCTGGCTGGTGAGCACCACGCCACCCTGGAGGACAAGGCTGGTCCTGCAAGGGCTTAGGTGTTGGACTGTTGGTTTAAGAGAGAGGAAGACCCTTTGCTATAGGAAACAGATCTAGGGGTGGAGGCAGGAGAGTTTGGGAAGGGACAGTGAGGAAGGGCGAAGACACCACGGTGTGTGTGCCAGCTCCCATGACGCAAGTGTCTGCAGTAAGTCACAAACGCATCAGCACAGGAGTGCTGCAGGGAAGGGGTGGGCTGGAAAGGGTCCTATCCTCTACCTGCCTTCCCGTTTTGTTTTTCAAGAGTCTTCAGAGGAGACCCCTCCAGCCACCCAGAACTTCATCATTCCAAAGAAGGAGATCCACACGGTTCCGGACATGGGCAAATGGAAGCGTTCGCAGGTGTGGGGCTCTGCACTGCAGCTCAGACCCGGGCCGAGGGCCTGCACATTCACACAGTGTTTTTCTGGCACCTGAGGCTGTCGGAAGTCAGAAAGAAGAAGGATGGGGCCGGTGGCTGTGCCATCTTGGGACGGCCCTCTATAGAGGCATGCTGTCAGCAGGGCATCTGGGCTAGGGCTCTGTTCAGTCCGGAAAACCTACCCTGGTTCTCTGAACCCTGCCCTTGGGTATTGTGGCTCTGGCTGAACATGAGTGTCCGAGCAATGAGTGGGCACGGTCCTTGGCCATGGTAGAAAGCCCAGTGTTCTGAAGGGCAAGGAGGCACCTAGGGTCATAACCATGTAGCTAGCACTAGGCTGAGCACAGGGGGCGACAGACCAGACCAGGTTCCTGCTGCTCAGCCCAGATGGTGGCAGGAGATCGTAGCTGTGGCTCCCAGCCTGTGTGCGTGCTGCAGAAAGAGGCAGCCTGAACAGAAGCATTTTAAATGCTCAGGGCAGGCTTTGGGTCCAGCTATATTCAGGTCCTAGGCCTGGTCTAGTCAGCTGGGTGGAGTGTGTCAGACAGACAGACGGATGGGTGGACAAACTGGCTGGCAGGCGTAGGACCCTGAATACATGGCGGGTTCTCCCCAGGTGTCTGCTATGCTTGCACTGAGCTCAGGCACTCCCCAGCTTCCGTGTCCTGTGCCGGGGGACGTCTCCCCAGGATCTGCCCCAGCACGTGAGAGCAGTGCCCCTTTCCCCAGCCACGGCTATCGAGCTCATCTCGAGGTGTGGTTAGACACCCTCTGGGAGCCGAAACTCTTGTTTACCTGAACCCCAGCCTGCCCCTGGCTCTTGCATCCCCAGCATGCTCTGAATGATACTTCCAGTGGGCTGGGGAGATGCCCAGGTGGACCCCTCGGTCTGCTGGAGGAGCCTGGGGTAGCACTGTTCTAGAAACCATGCTGCATCTCAGGGCTAATTCAGGTTTGGATGAGGAGGAAGGAAGAAAGCAGGAGGGAATGAGGTGAAGGAGAAACAATGGCAGACAGGGATCCCTTGTCCGTCCCACTGGGTTCCCAGGGGTCTGCACCTCGGTGCCTTCTGCTCCCTGTGCCAGGTACCCTGTACCCCAGTCAGGAGGAAAGGGTCTTGCTGGAACCAGGGGCTGGGTGGGCCTGGCTGTAGGCAGGCAGCAGATCCTTCTTGGGCATCTGCACAGCAGCCAGATACCCTGGAACTGGGGGAGGGACCCTGGCCATGTTCCTGGGTCTTTGTTGGAGGCCTTAACCTCCTGGTGGTGTGTTGTGGCGGGAATAGTCAGGCCTTGGCTTCAGGATGAAGCTGGCTGGCTCCTAGCTCCACATCTAGGAGGGCTCAGGCAAATCGCTTCTCCCCCTGCATCTTGGTCTCTGTGGGTGTAGAGTGGGGACAACAGCAGTGCCTTCCTTGTGGGTTGTCGCGTAAAAGCTGCCCCAGCCATCCGTTGGGAGGGCTCAGTAGACTGGCTGGAGGTTGGGTCACTATGGTTGCTGGATTACCACTGGGTGTCGGGGGCTCGAGGTTTTGTCCTCACCTGTTTCCTGCAGCTCCGGGTTGGGAGCCAGGGGGTGGGTGGGGTCTCACCTGTCTCTCTGCCCTGTGTCCCCCTCTTTGGTAGGCGTACGCTGACTACATGGGATTCGTCCTCACCCTCAATGAAGGCGTGAAGGGGAAGAAGCTGAGCGTGGAGTACACAGTCTCTGAGGTGGGTGCAGGCGTGGGCTGCCCGAGCTCGTGTGGGGCTCTCCTGTCTGCCTCTGGGAGTGCACAGGTGTTTATAATGGGGTCAGCGCAAACACACAGTTTAGGCTGCATTTCTGCTAACTAGTTTTTTTGTTTTGCTTTGCAGTACTGGGGGTGGGCCCAGGGGCTTGAGCATGCAGACTACCACTGCCCTGCACTCCCAGCCCTAACTGATGTTTTTATGTCACTTTTGAAATTAAAAAAGAGGACATCTTTGGCAGTGGTGTGTACCTATAATCCCAGCATTTGGGAGGCTGAGGCAGGAAGAAGTTTGAGCCCAGCCTGGGCAACTTAGTGAGTTATTGAAACCTGTCTCAAAAAAACGGCCTGGGGACCTACCTCAATGTTCAGACCCTGGTTTCAATTCCCAGTACCACACAAACAAAACAAAAGCAGTAACCACATTCCTGGAGAACGCTAGTGAAATGTTTATAAATGAACACAAAAGTTGACCTCTGTCTTCCCTCATGTCCGGCTCCTGGCAGCCCAGGAGCCGAGAGCTGCTCTGCAGCTGTGGTGTGAGTGCTGCCGTTAGCCAGGGTCCCGGGTGCACATCCGGTGCCTTCTCTCATGAGGGCTGTGTCCTGCAGTGGCAGTGCTGAGTCGGCCTGGGCTTCCCCATTTTCTCTGGGAAAAGCAGAGCAAGCTGGGCTCTTGGCCCCTGCCAGCCTGCCCAGCACTGCCCTGCAGTTGCCTGCTGGATGCGTGATGTCCGTGGTGGCGACGTGGCTGGAAGTCACCCAGATGTTGGACAGTGAGGAGTTCTCTAAACTGGTGTCCCAGCATCAGTCCCATAAGACCCTCGGGAGATTCTGTGACTTGGTGATGCCCAGGGAGGGTCAGGCTGCTGGGGGCCACAGCCGAGGGCAGCTCTGGGCGTTGGAAAGTACAGTGCATCCTCTCGCTGGCGGTGGGAATGGAGGCTTCAGCCTCTGGCCGCCCATCTGCCTTCCAGATCCTCAGCGTGAGGATCAGTCCGCTTTCTGAGTGCTGAGATCGGACACAAAATGCTTCGACCTCACAGGGGAGATTTGTCCTGGGCCACGGTGTCAGGAGGTCGAGCCCACGGTTGGCTGGCTCTACGGCAGAGGAGAGCGACTCCCACTGCAGCTGCAGAGGGCAGGAGTCCCTTCCAGCTCACCCCTGCCCTGCTTCTGACCAGGCCCTGCCTCCCAACAGCCCTCAGCTGTGCAGTCACTGCGGGTGAGCACAGCTCCCCACGATCTAATCACTTTCCAGGAGCCCCATCTCTGAAGTTGTGGGGATGGTTTAGATCTGAACCATGCACCCTGCCAAATAACAGAAAACAGGGCATGAATACAAGACAGCAGGCTGTGCCAGCACAGGCAGTTCCAGCTGCTGGGGGTCGGGGCGGGGACGGAGGGTTGCAAGTTTAAGCAAAACCCTGCTGCAAAATAAAATAAAAAATATGTATATGTATGAAAAGTTGAGAACATAGCTCAGTGCTGTCGGGGTCCCATCTCCATACACCCCCACAAAAGGGATAAAACTGTTAAAATGTGGATAGTGTTGGTCAGGCACGGTGGTGCTCACTTGTAATCCCAGCACTTGGGAGGCTGAGGCAGGAGGACTGAGAGTTTAAGGCCAGCCAGAGCTGCATAGCAAGTTTAGTGCTGGCCTGGACTACGTAGCAAGACCCTGTCTCAAAAGAAAAAAAAAAAAAAATAGGGAAGCAAATGCCTTCCCACTCAGGACAGTGGGCAGAGGGGCCAGGGGAGCACAGGGCACCCGCCGTCACCACCTGGCAGTGGTTGAGCCCCTCTGCGGCTCGGGACCCCCTGGTCACTGGCTTGGGCCTTTCTCACCCCATAGGCCATTGAGAAACTGGTTGCTCTTCTCAACACCCTGGACCGGTGGATTGATGAGATCCCCCCGGTGGACCAGCCCTCACGCTTCGGGAACAAGGCCTTCAGGACCTGGTACGCCAGGCTGAATGAGGTGAGGCCGCTGTCTCGGGGCTGGGCCAGGGCACAGGATCACAGAGTGGTCTTAGTCTCGGTCCATCTACCTGGATCCCCACACGCTCACCCTTGTCCTAGCTCTCTTCTGCAAACTGCCCTCGTAGTTACACAACCTCTTGCAGGAATCTTGAATTTTTATTTTATTGTATTTTATTTTTTGGTGGCACTGAGGATGGGACCCAGGCATCTCAGAGGCTAAACAAGTGCTCCACCTCTGAATTATGCCCCCAGCTACAAGGCTGCTTATTAAGTCATTACATTAGCAGCAGATGGGCCCATCGGAAGCTCCCCGAGAGACACCTGCACAGCCCAGGGTGTCGGGCGGGCGCGGTGCAGCTGTGGGGGCGGGAACCCTCGGGCCGGCTCTGCCGAAGAGGAGCTCCACGCTGCCCCCTGGTGGTAGAGGGGATTGCGCGCGTCCGCCTGCACAGCGCCGTGCGGAGCCTCACAGGGTGTGCCCTTAGAAATGACTCGCCCATCAGAAAGGATTCCGGGAGCACAGAATGGGATGAGACAGGACAGAAACGGTGCCAAAAGTTTATTTGAAAAGTGAAGGGTGAGTGGTAAGGGAGGAATCGGCTCTGCAGAACAAGCTGGGGCAGAACAAAAGAAGTAAAAGCAAAAATAAAGTACATGCTTTGGCAGAAACACAGCGTGGGCTCTGGTGGGAAGTCCCAACAGCAGTCTGGGCCCTTTCGTGCCGTCCACACCTCGTGGGAGCTTGTGAGATGTTCCACCTGCAGGGCCCTGGGAAAGAGCTGGCGCAGCCCTAGGCTCGTCATTTAAGGATCCGGGCACTTCCCCAGGCAGCTTTGCCAGCCCTGCCCCTGTGCCAGAAGGGAGAAGGAGCCTGGAGCGCTGGGCAGTGTGGGCAGGAGAGGCAGGGGCCAAGCAGGACTTCTTCCTACAGCAGTCTTCCTCTTTTGTTGTTGTTGGTTTGTTTGTTTTTGAGACTGTGTCTCACTGTGTAGTTTGGGTTGGCCTTGATCTTGAAGCAGTCCTCCTGCCTCAGCCTCCTAAGTGTGGGGAATCACAGGGGTGCAACCCCACCCCTGGCAGTGTGTTCTTCTTTTTAGTCACTGAAGATGTTACCTGTTCGGAGCAGACAGTTTGGGCTCTGGGCTCGTGCCCAGAATGGGAGTAGTCTGCCTGGCAGGGTGGGCCTGGGGGTCCAGTTGGCCACCAGCTGTCCAGGAGACTCCTCTGCTGGGGTCGACTGCTGAGCTGGGGGAGCAGAGCATGGCAGCTGGATCCCAGCGGGTGCTGACCCAGCCGGGTGCTGCAGGCCCTCAAGCTCTTATTTTTGCCCAAGACTTGTGCTAAGATCTAGCTTCGAGGGATGCTGCTGAGTCCTGGTTTCCCAGTTGGGTGGATTGTCACGTTTTTCCCGTCATCCATATCAGGCAACAGCATGTTCCGTCTCACAGCAGTGTCCTCCCCATTGGCCTCCCCTGATTTCTGTCCAATACACTGATTCTTTGGGCTGCTTTTGAACTTCGTATCAACGCCTGGCTTCTTTTGCTTGAGGTTACCTCTGTGAGGTTCATGTGTGTTGTCAGACGTAATGGTGGCTCTTTCCTTCCTGTGTAGTGTTCCATGGTAGGAGTGTGCCACAGCGTGTTCATGTCATCACTGCAGAACAATTATTTTGTTTATTATGAAGAATGCCACTTGGCTGGATGTGGCAGTGCACACCTGTGACCTTAGCGACTTGGGAGGCTGAGGCAGGAGGATCACAAGTCAAGGCCAGACGGACGGTTTAGTAAGGCCCTGTCTCAGAGTTTAAAAAACATTTTTAAAAGCCTGAAAAGGACTAGGGGTGGGGATGTGGCTCCGGGGAGCACTTGACTTGTACAGGTTTTTTGCTTGGGCCCCCCTTCCCCTGCAGATGAAACCCTACTGCTGGAAGTATGGGGCAGGGTCTTGCTGCCCTGGGGGTGTGGAGGGAGATGGTGACCATGGATTCCCCGAGGGGAGGAAGCTGGCAGGTGCCACACCACCCAGGAGGGTCTTCCTGTTGTGTAAGAGCACAAGCCACCCTTGTGGCCCTTGGCGCAGTGCTGCCCCACCCTTCCGAGTATGGCCGAATCTGCTGCCACTACTTTATGTCTCTCGTGTTATCAGGAAGCAGAAAACTTGGTGGCCACGGTAGTCCCCACCCATCTGGCAGCAGCTGTGCCCGAAGTGGCTGTTTACCTGAGGGAGTCTGTGGGCAACTCCACGCGCATTGACTACGGCACAGGTACCACAGCCACTGGCGGCTCTGCACGCATCTGCCCCCCCCCGCTCCTGGGGCCACTTGCTTTTCCCTCTGATCGAGCAAGTTTGCACGCTATACATACACACACACACACACACACACACACACACACGCACGCACGCACGCACGCACGCACGCACACATGCACGCACACGCACACTCCCCCCACACACAGCCTTTGGGGCCAGCTGGGTGCCATGGCAGGGAGGGCACCACAGTGGGTGTGAGTGACTGCTGCTGTGACTCTGGCTGGGTCCTGGGGGGCTGACGCGCACCCTGCTGGCATGCTGGTAAAGGTGGGCTCTGCAGGCACCCCCTGGTCTCTAGTGGTCCCTCACTGCCCATGTGCTATAGCTCAGGACAGCGGCTTCTGCTATCGTTGAGAAGTAGGCACGCTGCCTTGGGGGTTCCCCCTAGCCTGTGCCCCTGGTCTCTGCTGTCCCTTCCTTGCTGCTGTGAGCTCTTTGGGTCTGTTGTCTAAGGCTGACTAGACTTGGAGGAAAGGCCCCGTGGGCCCCTGGTAAAGGCTCCGCATATTCTCCCTTCATCAGTGACCCGGCTTGGGTTTCAGAGCTCAGATGGCAGCAGTGACCAGGTACTGTCTGGCTTCCCTGCTGGACAGTCAGCTTCCCCTGGTGGCTGACAGGGATGGTGCCTGCCCACCTTGTAGGTGCCCAGTAACCCGGGTGGGGTAACTGAGTGTCTTCAGCCTGTTTGGGCATCAGCAGTCAGGCCTCTGGCAGTGGAATTACAGCACAGGTAGCTTTGAGGGCCTGGGCCGCCATGGACAGGGGCAAGGCCCAGTTCTCTCCTTGCTGGCCTCCCTCCTCGTCCTAGGGAGATGGAGAGCAGCCCCAGTCTTCTCCGAGACTGTCAACTTCAGCCCTTCTTTCCCAGGGCATGAGGCAGCCTTCGCTGCTTTCCTCTGCTGCCTCTGCAAGATCGGAGTACTGCGGGTGGATGACCAAATAGCCATTGTCTTCAAGGTGTTCAACCGGTGAGCAGGGGCCAAGGGTCTCTGCCTTCCTCTTCCTCCTCCTGGTCAGGGTGGGACAGGAGGGACAGAGGGGTCTCCTGCTCGATTTGTGGCTTTCATCCTGTCCTGGCCAAGCCTGGCTGTGGGTGGGTACCAAGGCCACTTCTCCCATCAGCTTCACCTCCTATTCCCTGGAAAGCGGGGGAGGGTGGGTCCAGGAACCTCCTTCTCAGTGCTCCATCCTCCCCTTACCCCTAAGAAGTAGAGGGGAAACCAGGGCCCAGAGAGGTTCACCCAGACAGGTGATGTCTAACTGGCACCCCGTGCACTGGGCAGCCCCGGATGTGCAGAGCCACTGTTCTTAGCATGTGCAGCCCATGTTGGGGTCACAGGTATGGTGTGTGTGTGATAGCCTGCAAGTGACTCAAACACGTGGCCTTTGGTCATGTGGGGATGCAGCAGGACAGACTGAGGAGCTGCTCTCCTGGGACTCTGAGGTTAGGGAAGTGGGGCTCCTGCTGAGCCCTGTAACCATGAGAAGGCTCTTTCTGAGTCTGGGTCCAAGTCGGGGTTCATCTCTTTGCCTGGGTGGAAGTCCAGGTGTGTGTGTGCCCTGATGTTTGCAGCATCCCCACTGAGCTCTCTCCGCAATGGGCACCCCTTGGGAGACAGCGCCTGCTGGCCTATGTGTGGGCAGAGGGAGGCCACCTCTCACTCTGGCCCCGCCCTTTCTCCCCGCCCTGCGCAGGTACCTGGAGGTCATGCGGAAGCTCCAGAAGACCTACCGGATGGAGCCTGCTGGCAGCCAGGGTGTGTGGGGCCTGGACGACTTCCAGTTCCTGCCATTCATCTGGGGCAGTTCACAGCTGATAGGTACTGGGGGTCACCCTCCACACCCTGTGCCTCCCCTTCCTGCCCCGACAGACAGGGATGGCTTGGACCACAGGCCTTAGAGTGGCTGTTGTTGGGGGCTGCTTGCTGTCAACCTTCTCCTATGAAGCAGCCAGGACAGGGGCGGGGGGCGGGGCCTGGGGTGGTGGAGGCGGCAGCAGCCTTGGAGGTGACAGGAAGCGGCTCATTCTGCGTGGTGCATTTTGCAGTGGGGCACAGTGTGCCTGCCCCTGGCAGCAGACACAGGGTTGCATGTGGAAAACGAGGGGCTCTTTGATCCACTGTTGTTACGGAACCATGTGCAGGCAGCCATCAGGGAGCTGCTGCCGAGTGCTGGGGCCTGACCTGCTTCCTGTGCGCTCATACCTGCTCAGTGACACCCCAGCCCCTACAGCCCTTCTCCGGGTGCTCAGCCACACAGGCCGCCAGGGCAAGCCCGTGGTCATCTCTCTTGATGTGGGATGAGCTGCCTATCAGAAACCTGCTCCACACTAGCCCTGTGTTTGCGGCCCAGGTAGATGACCTCAATCCCTAGGCTGCCCCACCTCCCCGCCAGGGGACTTCAGCAGGCCGTAAGCGGTGTGCTCCCAACTGTCCACATCACTGTTACATGCTCCTTGATGTTCCTGTCCTCAGAGGCTGACCTCCTAGGTTGTCTCGGCTCATACAGCTCAGGGAAGGCCGAGTGCAGATGTGGCTCCTGACAGCAAGGACTGGGCACATGCACTGGCGTCCTGGACTGTTTGTCATCTCACCATAGTGTGACAGCGGTTTCTTTTTTTTTTTTATCAGTACCGGGGATCGAACTCATGACTGCGTACTTGCAAGGCAGGCGCTTATGCCACTGAGCTAAATCCCCAGCCGAGGACAGTTTCTTAAAGAAGCATATTCCCTGGATGGTGGAAGAGACAGTACAGTAAACACGTTAGCTAGTAATGTAGTTGTTTCGTGTCCTTACTGTTGGGCTCACTAGCCTCTATGGTTTTCTTTGTTGTTGGTACTGGGAATCCAACTAATGGCCTCGTGCTTGCCAGGCAGGTGCTGTGCTGCTGAGCTGCAACCCCTCCCCGCCTCGTGCTTTGTGCAGCTCTGAGCACTGCAGCCTTGCCGCCAGCCGGCTCTGGGGAGTAGCCCCACCAGGGCGCTGTAGTACTGCGCTAGAGGCACAGGGGTACTCCAGCTTCATGAGCTCCTCTCTCAGTGCTGGGTGCTGAATGCAGGGCAGGTGCCCACTGAGTGTTCAGGCCGAGGCGCACCCCAGCACTCCAAGGCAATGTTATGGGGTTACCACAGTGCGTGTGCACCATCATGGCCAGAACCAGCGCATGCTGATGACCGCGCACAGGTCCTGTGTTAGTCCTCTGAGGTCGAGGGTCAGGGACACTGCCTAAGGCTGTGGCCCCTGGGAGGTGTCTAGGTGCTGCAAGGGCCGGGTTCTGAAGCCCAGAGTCCTCTGCTTCCCCAGACCACCCATACCTGGAGCCCAGGCACTTTGTGGATGAGAAGGCTGTGGGTGAGAACCACAAGGACTTCATGTTCCTGGAGTGCATCTTATTCATCACGGAGGTGAGGGCGGGGCAGGGTGGGGCTGGGGGTGGGGGCTACGCCCTGCGGGGCTTTCTGGAAGCCTTGGCTAGCCAGGATGTCCTTGTCTGCATGGACGCTGCCGAGGGGCTGAGACTTGGCGCGTTCATCAAAATTTCCCGGGGATTTGGTTAGTGCCAGCTTCCTGAGTCAGAATCGAGGGACAAAAGCCAGGGTCTGAATTTAAAGACATCTGCTAGGCAACTGAGGGACCCCCAGCTCCCAGGGCCTTGCTTCTGGGGTCACCAGGACTCCCCCCACCCCACCCGGTAGAGGCGGCACATTTGCAAAGGGCACCCTGCCCAGGGACCAGAGCCTCCCCAGCCTTCCTGGGCTACTTTCCTGACTGCTGCTTCTCAGCACCCAAGGGCAGAAGCCTGCTTAGCAGCATCGGCTCCTTGCTCCTCCCGGTCAGTATTCGGCTCAGGCTTCTGCCAAACTCTAGAGGCCAGAGGGGAATGGCACGGTTTTTCCAAGTCAGCAGATGGAGCTGGGACTGGCGGCTGCCGCTTCCTTCACAAGATCTGCTGTCTTCAGCAGAGTCGCAGGCCCAAGGTCGTGAGGACTCAGGCGGCCTGGCGGCTTCACTGAACACCAGTCATACACTGCTCTCTGGTGGAGAGGGGATCTGGGGAACCTGCTGGATGAGGGGGAGCGGGCTGGGGGCTCTGCGCAGGGCAGAGTCCACACTGAGCTCGCTGCCTGAGGCCCCGTGACTGAACTGGTCGGGCTCCCCCAGCAACTGCTCAGGCCCAGGGGTCCCTGTGTGATTTAGTAAGGGGACAGGCCAGGCCACGCTCCGCAATTGAAACTGTGCTCCCAGTTGGTTGGTCAGGCTGCTGGGAAAACCCAAAGGCGCTCGATCACCTTTGAGACCCTGTCCTCCGCAGGAGTCAGGCCTAGAGCCGCTAGGTGGCGCTGAAGGCTCACTGCAGGTAGGTCCAGCCCCGGCTGGCTGTCGCGCCTAGGGCGCACAGGCTTTGGCTGGTCTGCACCTTCTCGGCAGTCTGGGTTTCACTTTGGGCCTGGGGGCTCAGGCACGGTGTTAGCGTGGGGACCAGGGAGGCTGCCCTGGAGGCTGCTCTCCGAGGGCCCCTTTCTCCCTACTGGCCTGGGAGCAGGCCCTGGACATGTTGTGTCCTTCCCCAGGTGGGTGGCGGTGGCACCCTGAGCCAGTAGCCTGGCCTTCCGCACCAGACCCGGGGGCTTCAGTAGCTTGGCTCGGAGGCCGCGGTGTTATGTCCCTAGGCCCGGGATCCTGAGGCTCGGTGCAGCTGGAAGATGAAAGGAAACACCCGGACTTGGGAGGGACACCAGCTCCCCTGCCTGCCTTCCCACTGCAGCCCTTGTAGTCCTGGGCATCCTGCATGAGGGGCCCCCACCCTGCAGAGCTTCTGCCTCTTCAGGAAATGCAGCCCTGGCGCCTTTAAGAACAGGGCAGGCAGGAAAGAATTTCAGTTTCAGTCTGGCTTCTAAATTTGGAGTTTTGGGAAGGGAGGGATCGGGTTTCAGCTGGAAGGGAAGGAGCTGACAGGAAGGCTGCGCAGAGCTCCCCACGCGCCCCTCCCCCGCTCCTGACAGAGGAACCATTTACAAAGGCCGGTTCTCTGGGGAGTGGGGAGGCGGGAGCGCAGCCCTGTGAGTAATTTCCTGCTCAGTGTGGCTGCTCTGACTCACGATTCCCCTGGGGTCGCTGCGGGCCTCAGCCTCAGCCTACTGTGCGCTCGCCTCTCTTTGTGGCCAGAAGGAGCTCTTTCTCGGTGTTTGTTTTTTTGGAGGTTTTTTGGTCTCCTAGCTCCCGACTCCTATTTCCCTTCCCGTTTTCCTTTCCCAATTTGCAATCTCCACGTGAAGGACCTAGGAGGCCTGCAGTGCTGCGGCCTGTGGGGCTTTGCCTTTCTGGGGCTCCCCAGCATGGCCTTGCTCTGGCTCAGCCAGAGAGGCTTCTGGGGGAGCATCTGAGACCCACAGGCAAGGCTAGTTCAGGAGGCGGAGCCTGGGCTGCCTCTGCTGAGCAGCCCTGAAGCTGTGCTAGACAGGGATGGAGCTGGGTTAGGTCAGGCCCCCCAGCCCCGAGGGAGTTGGCGGAGCAGCAGGGGGGCAGGGAGGGAGGGGCTGGGGAGAGGGCGCAGGGAGCTGTCCATGGAAGACCTTGGGGGGCGTGCCTTGAGTCTGCCTGGCGACATGTGTCCTTGCTGCAGTACCCTGGAGCTGAGACAGGCTCTGTAGTCTGAAAAGTTTAGCCAGTGTGGCCTTTACTGGACAGTACAGGGCCTGGGGGGGGGGGTTGACAGGCAGCTGCTGCAGCTGTGCCCCATTGTGAGACAGAACTATGATCTTTCCTCTCCCTGGAACAGACTCCCCTCCTCCCAGGCCTACATGCACAGCTTCTAGAACCTTCCACCCACTCCAGGTCCAAGTCTCTCCTTGCCAGACTTGGCCTCTTTGCTTTTCCATCTTTCTGTGCCTGAGGCCCAGGTGCCGAGGCTGCTGTGGGCCCAGCTGGGCCTGGCTGGGCCAGGAGGGCGCTGTGAACCTCCTTGCTAAGAGCTTGAGCAGCCCCTTCTCTCCCCAGGCAGGCACTGTGGTTTCTGATGTCATGGGAACCGCAGCAGGCTTGCTGCACAGCATTCTCTTCCTTCCTAGAGGCCCGGGCTCTTGGGCAAGAGCAGGAACCGGGACGGCCTGTACTGCATCTGCCGTGGTGTCACCCCTGGCCTCGTAGGCTGGGGCAGGCTGGTCTTCTAGATAAACAGGCGTTATTCCTGCGAGTACCCTGCCTCATGTTGGCCCCTCTGTTCCCCTCTGCCACCTGCCATGCCCAGGACACGGCACCCTCCCAGCCTCTTCCTCTGCCCTGCTAACTCTGCCTGGTTGGTGCAGGCCAGGCCTGCTGTAGGTTTTCTGCAGTTGGAGCTGGAGGACCAGGGAGACCTGGGGAGAGGGCTTGGGGGAGGCGGGCAGAGCCTCACTATGCAGTTGAGACTGACCTTGAGCTCACTTAATAGCCCAGGCTGGCCCTGAACTCATGACGAACCCTCTGCTTCCCAAGTGCTGGCATTCTGGGTGTGCAGCACCACGCCTCGGTACCCGTGGCTGCTAGATTTGGTGGTGGTGGGAATTGGGTCCCTCATTTGGGTGTGAGAGAAGAAATCCTGGTGGTAGATAAGGGAGGTTATATTTGTTTGCTTTGTTAACTTAAGGCTCAAACACTCCCATCTCTGGGGCTTGTGCACTTGTGTGTGTAGGCCACATGGCGCATACTCTGGCTGCGCCTTGTGTGTGACTTGCATGTGTGTGTGAGAGAGAGAGGGTGGGGGGCAGACAGGCAGCACCTGCCTCGGGGAAGCAGAGCCCATCCTGGCTGTGGCCCTCTTGTCCAGATGAAGACCGGACCATTCGCAGAGCACTCCAATCAGCTATGGAACATCAGCGCAGTCCCCTCCTGGGCCAAGGTGAACCAGGGCCTCATCCGCATGTACAAGGCCGAGGTGAGTTGGGCTGACAGGTGTGTGTGGTGCTTGGGAGCTGTGGTCCCTGCTCTGCTGTGGCCTCTGACTCTCACATGGAGGGGGCTAGAAAAGTCCTGCCCTCATCCGTGCAGGAGCTGAGCAGGGCCCTGCTCCTGGGCGCAGGCACCTCTCTTCCCACCTGGTCCAGTTGGGTCCGGTGACACAATTGCCAAAGGCTCTTTGGTGCTCAGCAGCCCTAAGTCTGCCAAGGAAACAGAAAGCAGGGCATTCTGGGAGTGGAGAGGCCTCCTGGGGGCATCCTCCTAAATTCCGCTGTCCAGCTGTTTTGTGTGGCTGCAGGCAGGTAGAGGCCTGGGGGAGGCCAGAGCTGGTATTTCTGACCGCTGCTGGTGTCTCCAGAGACTGGTCCCTGAGCATCCCCTGCTGGGAGGTGGCTGCCCTTCCCCTGCCTGGCGTCTTCTGCCCTCCTGCAAAAGGAGGGGACAGACATTTCCCTAGTCACATCTCAGGCATGTCCTTGGCCAAGAAGGACCTGCATGTGCAGTGCCCCCGTCACCTGAAACGGAGCCACACATCCGCAAGGCACCTCCGGGTGTTTCTGTCCTCAGGTTGTCTCTGCCTGTGGCTGCCTTTCCTGGCCTGCCTCCTTCCTTCTCCTCGGGGGTGCTGCTCCAACCTGCAGCACCAGAGGAAAGGCAGCAGAAGGGAGTGAGGCTTCAGGGACCCGGCTCCCTCCGTGCCTGCCCTGAAGGGGTTAACGGTGCTGGAACTTTTGCCGTGCTGACCGCCTGGCCCTCTTCCTCCGCCCCTCCCCCTCAGTCCCTTCCTCTGGACCTCACATCCTGTGTTTAGGTTCCAGCCCACATACCTCTCTAATCTGAGCCTCCCTTTCTGGGGCTGCCTGGGCTCCTTCCTGCCCCTGCCCCTGCCCCGCCCAGCTTTCCCTGTCCTGAGAACCTAGGTCACTGCCCTCTGTCTGGTCCTGCTGACAGACCTCCCCTGCTGGTCCCACACTGGCACTGCCGGTGGCACACAGCCACCCTGCGGGGCAGTCCCACTGCTGGGGGCTGTCTCAGCAAGGGAGGGGTCCATGGCTCCTTGACCCCATCCCCTTTCCAGAGGCAAAGGGGCTACAGAACAGTAGCTGAGGGAGGGGAGAATAAGATCAGGAAGCCCAGGAAGGAGGCTGCTGGCAAGCCTGCAGCCTTTCTGGGCAACTCAGCAAGACCTATCAGGAAAATGCACAAGGCCAGGAGGTGCCTCTTAGTGGAGGGCGAGGCCCAGTGCGGCACACAGAACCAGACAGTCATCAGTCACCGTGATAACCACCTCTTCAGGTGCTGACTGCAAGCCGCTGCAGCTGGAAACTGCAGGAATTCGGCGAGCGCCCTTCCTGAAAACAGGACCCCAGGCCTGGTGTGCATGGGCGGTGGGAGCTTCCTGCCCTGGTGCTGAGTAAGCCAGGCTGCTGTGCCGGGCACGGCGGGAGCGCCTGGGTTATACCGCTGGGGTCCAAGCAGGAAGCCCTTGGTCTCTGGTCCCCAAAAGTCCAGGGGCTGTGTGTGCCACCCCAAGAGGCCCCAGGAAGGTCATTCTTCTCTGGCTGGTTCTTAGTCTATAGGGAGGACCTTTCAAGCCCCCAGTCTCGATGTCCAGAGGGGACCAGCAGGACCAGGCGGACGGGAGGGGACACCTTGTGTGTCCAACATGCCAACCTAGCTTTCATTTGTATTTATTGGTCTGTTTTCCTGCATTACTGGGTGGGACCAGAGCCTTCCAACATGAGCGGCAGCCCTGGCCCTTTTAACTCTTTATTTTGAGATAGGGTCTTGCTGAGTTGTCCAGGCTGAGCTCAAACTTATCGTCCTCCTGTCTCAGCCGCCCACAGTGCTGGGGTTACAGAGTGGGCACCACACCGGCTCTGACCTGGTCTTCTGAGGTGAAGAGCCAGGCACCTTCAGGGGTCCTGTGTGGCGGGCTCTGCCTGTCCTATAGGCCTGCTGTGCAGGGCCCTAGTCCTGAAAGGCTACGAGGGGCTGAAGAGAGACCACAGGCCGTGGGCTGCAGGCGCTTCCTGCCCCGGAACTGCGGACTTTCTCTGCCTCAGCCCAGCCTGGCCTCTTGGGGTCCCAAGAGCAGAGTGGAGAAACCTCTGCGCCCCTGCCCTTCGTAGCTTCTCCAGTGGGAGCTGGAGGCAGGCTGACTTCTGACCCTTTCTGGAATCCAGGGCCCTGGGGGGCCCTTTGCAAACTCCCACCACTTCCCGTTGATATCAGCACCCTGGCAGCTACCTCGCCTCTGGCCTGGATCTGCTGCTCCCTACTTCCCCTGCGCCTCAGGCCTTGCTGACCACCTGGGCCCTGTGCACACTCTTGGGCCCTCACTGCTTGGTTCTGCAGTTGCTTCCCAAGGTGAGGGAAGTGGGGCACAGCACCCCTATCCCCCTTAGGTTAGGGTGAGGCGGGCAGCTTGTTATACCCCAGTAGCTGGAAGGTGTGGGAGGAGCCCAGACTAGTGTGGGGTGTTGAGGGCCACAGGCAGGAGAGGGAGGGGCAGTTCTGGGCCTGGGCCCACTCCCAGGTAGGCCTTGGCCAGCCCAGCCTTACTGCTGTCCCTGCCTCCCCGGGGCTCCTGCTGTCTTGTCATGAAGTGTCAGATCCCAGTGGACAGGAGAAGGGCCCTGGCCCTGCTCAGGCTTGCATTCCAGTGTCCCCTTGCCACCAGGCCAGAGCGGGGGCAAAGCCAAGGGTGCCCAGGATGGGAAAGGTCCTTCTTACCTCTTGTGTCCACTTCCACCTGGGCCAAGTGATGTCACTTGGCTGCCTGTCACCTGGGCTTGGCTTCCAGGCTGTGGGGCTAGATCTCCCCACCCCAGCTGTGTGCTGCAGGGGGGCTATTGGGTGGGAAGAGGGGTGAGGAGGGAGTCGGAGGATCGGTCCCCCTTTGCGGAAGGCCCAGGACTGTTGTGACCAGGCACCTGTGGTCTGGCCAGTGGCTTTGTTTTGGGCTCCCACTTACTGTCCACCCTGCCTTCCTCCACAGTGCCTGGAGAAGTTCCCTGTGATCCAGCACTTCAAGTTCGGGAGCCTGCTGCCCATCCACCCTGTCACCTCCAGCTAGGAGGCCCGAGGTGCAGAGCCACCCAGGCTGGGTCCCTGTGCCCTGCTCCGCCCCCGCCCAGGTTCTTTTGTTTGATGAGAGGCTGTTTGCCAGGGTGGGGTGCTAAGGGGGCTTGAGGAAGGTACGGCGCTTAGGACTGAAGGACTCAGGTTGGGAGAAGCGACCAAAGTGTGGCCAGTGTGCTGATCTCTGTGGTGGCCGCGTGAGAAGGGAGGGACTGGGACCCCATTCTTGTTCCCGGTCGCCCTCTCCTCCCCTCTCCTGCAGCCCAGCTTGGGGACCTGGGGTCTGGGGAGTAGCACCTTGCTGTTCTCATCACTTTCTCCCCGCTTTCCCTGGGCATTTCAAGGCTTGGAGTTCTGTCCTTTGCAGCCCTGGGGTGGGGTCTGGGTGTCTGCTGGGAACTGCCCAACAGTTCGAGCTGCAACTTGAGGCTGCCCCTGGCCCAAAGCTCAGCTTGGCCTGTGTGTTTTCTGGCCCTTGGCTTAGCCATAGCCACATTTCTCCCTCCCCAGAGGTCACCCAGCTGTGGCAGATACCCTTACGGTAGGTGCTGGGCTTCTGGGAGGGCTCAGTGGATTGCGTGAAGCTTCCAGAACTTTCCAGCAGGGAGAGGCAGCAGAGACTCAGGGAGGTGCTTGGGGCTGATTCTTCCAAGCCTGGCTGCTTCTGCCACCCCTTTACTGCTGTGACCTTCCCGGGGTGCTCAGCCCACTCTGCTCCCCAGTGGGTGGGTGCCAGCGTGGCCAGTGCTTCCTTGTCCTTCCACCTCTGTGGCAGGATGGGGTGAGGGGTGGCTCTGTATGGTGGGCCCAGCTGAGAGACACAGCGTGGAGTGCTGGCCGGTGTCTACCCATGTCCTCCCGCTCTGTTCCCTGCCTGGTCTGGGTCTACAGAGCCTATGGAGTGGGCATGCTAAGAACCACGGCCCAGGGGTGAAACCCTGGGTGGGTCACGGTCTGGGCAGAGATTGGGACAGGACCATGAGTCCCAGGCGTGGATTCCCCAGAGGCTGATGAAGCCTCCTCCTGGGGCCACACCCTCGCCCTCCTGACTCCTGGTCCTCCCGGGCCTTGCTCCCCTCCCTCCTTTGTTGCTGTTTGGATTAAAGCCTCTGTTTTGCACCTGTCATGTGTGTGAGACCCATTTTTTCCTGTGGAGCTTTTGTTTCATCTCTGCCTCACTTTGTCCCCATTCTGTCCCCTCCCCTCAGGCCACAGTGTGTGGGGCACCAGGTGCTCCAGTTGGGCTGGTTTTCCTGGAGGAGAGTGCCAGCTGAAGGAGGTGTAGGTCAGCGGGAGTCTGTGCCCCCGAGCGTTCTGAGGGTGGGCATGCTGCCAGGTGGAGGGTGCTGGGGCAGAGGTCAGAAGGACCCTGAAGAAGCCAGGGCTGTGGAGCACAGCTTGCCAGGAAGAGTCAGGAGCTGAGGCTCAGTTTCGTGCTTGGGGGAGGCAGGTGGGAGCCTGGTTGCTGCAGGGCTGAGCGTGGGGTGTTGGAGGCCCTGAGTTGGGTGGAAGTGGTGCTGTGTGGGGGCACAGGGAGGAGTTTGAGCCATAGGAGCAACCAAGAACAGGAGCCTGGTGTGTGCAGCCCAAGGCCCATTGGCAGGGAGGTGACTCTGTGCTTTTACGTGTCTGTCTTCTGGGTGGGACAGCCCAGGGTTGGCTGTGAAGGAGGTGGGGCTAGGTCACTGTGGGGACTGCATGGTCTGTGCTGAGAAGGACGACCCTCAGGACCCTCGGGAGGTGCCCTGGCTGAGGGCGGCACAGAAGGGGAGCAAGAGCAGGACAGGTGGGTAACAGCTCCCACCTGTGCAACCCCAGATGGCCGGCCCGGTGCAGTGGATTCGGTAGTGGGGTTCCCAGCTGGGCTTGTTCCGACGGGCATAGTGAGGAGGTGGGCAGGAGATGGGGCGTGAGCCATGGCGGGCAGAGGGCAGCCTTCCACCCTGTGACCACAGGAGAGGCCCTGCTCGCCAGTTCGCTGTGGTGAGAAGGGTGAAGGGGATGCTGAGAGGGGGAAGCACCCCCAGTCCTGCAGCTCTGATGTCACCCTGGGGACCTCAGAGGATCCCAAGGAGGCCTAAAGGGCAGAGTGGGGAACGGGAGGCAGCCCGTCGGAGCGTGCGTGTGCATATGCTGTGTGCGGGTCCTGATCTCGCTGCTCTCCGAGGAGGCAGCGGCCCTTCGAGGAGGACAGCGCCCAGGACTGGGAGGAAAACAGCAAAGCCTTGCAGCTCTGGAGCCAGGAGAAAAGCTGTTCTTGAATCCAATAAGCGTGAAGCTCCAGTCATGTGAAAGGCATTTAGGGGCACCTGGAGCTAGGAGGAGGGGAGAATCGCACCAGAGGGAGCCAGCCAGGGTGCTGCTCTGCTCCACAGCCAACCCACCTCTTCCCCTGGGGGGCCCACAGCCTGGCCACCTGCCTCCCTGTGAAGACCAGCCCGATGAGCACTAGCCTGGTGCGTGCTGCAGGGGCACAGACCAGGGCATCCTGGGGAGCCAGGCTTCGGAGGCTGGAGTTGGCCCCCTGGGACTTCTGAGTGCCTTAGAATGGACACATCTAGTGCCCTTTGCACCACCGTAACCCTCAATCCAAAAGGAGTCCCAGGAGCCTGGAACAGGCGTCCCACACTTGGTGCCCAGCAGCGCCTGCCATGTAGCAGGCACCATTGGTGTGGACCATGATCAGGAGGGATGTGGGCAGGGCTGGGAAGCCAGGGCAGAAGCTTCAAGGCCAGCTGCAGGTGCCAGACCTGGATAGGCACCTGGGGGTGGGAGCGGCCATCAGCAGTAGGGCTGCAGGGGGAGGCCGGAGCAGTAGACCAAATGGGATTGGTGCTGGGAGTCGGGGGAAAGGCTGGGGAATAGAAGTGAGGCTGAAGGGCTCTGTGGGGCACGTGGTGGGGCTGCTGTGATGCCCTGCGGGCAGCTGGGGGTGGGCTCCAGGGACTCGCCCATACCACCTCCTCTCCGTTCCTCCCCACTGAGCAGTTTGGCCCTGCACCCAGATCCTGTCACCCCTTGGGGGAAGCCCTGTCCCTGTTCAGGCTCTGCTGAAGCCTCATGGTGCCCCTTAGGTCATGCCCCCTGCCCCTCTGGCACTCCTCGTGCCAGGTGGGAGCAGCACTTTCCTGTGCTCAGTGACAGCCCCAGGAGCTTTGGGGGAGAGTAGGTACCACCTACAGGCCGGCCCTACAGCTAGAGCCTCTTTCCCTAGAGTCCTTGTGGGGCTGATGGAGTCTTGGCAGGAGCGGGCCATGGTACCCTCTGCTCTCAGACCCTCCCATCACTGTGCCTTGGGAGGGCACCAATGACTGGGGCATGGGGACATATCTGTGAATGGCCAGAATGGGGTGGGCCCACCCTCCCCATGGAAGAGTGACAGACCCACGGGAGAGGGTGAGACTGCCCAACAGGAAAAACTCAGGCTGGGCGCCCAGGTTGGGACAGGCAGGAAGGGGATGGAGAAAGTACTTTCTGAGGGCCAGCACTGGAGATGTCTCAGGCAGCGGTTCCGAGGGCATTCAGGCTGAAAAAGAACAGAGGTGCAGGGGGTGAGGAACAACCAGGAGGAACCCTCAGGAGGTGACAGGTGGGCATGGGGAAGGCATGAGAGGCCCCTGAGGCGGGGTGCTGGCAAGAATCTCCCAGGGCTCCCCTCCTGCAGCAGGGTCCAGCGGGAGTTATTTCAGGAAGATTTGAAATGCCCAGCGCGCCCAGCAGCTGGGGCTTGGGCTAGATGGAGCCGTCAGACCCCAGGCTGTGTTTGTTCTGGAAGACGTTTGTGAGCCGCGGGTAGTGAGAAGGTGGCGGTCTTCTATGGAGCAGCAGAGACCTGCCTTTCTGTCCAGTCACTCGGCAGTGTCAGCATGGGCTGCGTCTGCTGATGGCACCTGGGGGCGGGGGAGGGGGGAGCTGTGGAGAACCCATCGCCTCTCCCGCCTCCAAGGTGGCCAAGGAAATGCTGCAAGGGCAAAAGGATTGTGGATGGGTGTGTGTCAACTGCATTTGATTTTTAAATCTTTCCACAGTGTCCAGGTGGTACTTCCATACTGAGGGGACAAAAAAGGAACTGATTGAGAACATTTTCCCCTAAAGCTCATGGGGAATGAGGTGGGGGGCAGGGGGTTGCTTCCGGCAGGGAGGAGGGCACTTGTCCTGGGGGCCGGAGGAGGAGAGGAAGGGCCACTCAGATGTCTGGTAAGGAAGGGGCAGAGCCTGGATGGGGTTGGTGGCCATGGCTATAGGCAGCAGCACGATGATTCTGCTGAAGTGTTTTCCTGACCCCCAGCACCGGGCACTTACCCCACCATGGGCCCATCTTCATCACCGTCTTCCACCCTGGACAACACCCAGGGACAGACGATCCTCGGAGCCCAGCACACTTCTTCCCACTGGAGGTAGCGTCCCTGGTGCCCACTGCCCAGCATACAATCCTCACGCCCTGCGCTTCCCTCCCACACCCTGCCCCACTGCACTGTGCTCCCCAGGCCCACACTATCTGGCTAGGACTCTCCAAGTCCTCAGTCCACACGCGCTCTGGTCCCTCTGCCCTTCATCACTGCCAGAGACAAGGAAGGGTTGCTGACACACGAGCATAGGCAGGACTGCAGGCTGGGGCACTCAGGTCTGCACTTTGGGACATCCTGGTTGGCTCTGTGCCAGGACTTGGGGCTCCACCAACCCTTCTCGAGATGGGCGCACCTCTGCAAGAGCCAGGAATGTAGAATGTAGCAGCCCAGGTTTTTGGGGCTCTGGTGTGGGCCCTTGCGCTTCCCACTGTGTAACCTCGATCTGGTGGAGCCTGGGTTCCTCAGTAGAGGTGGGGTGAGTGAGCCATTGATGGCAGGGTGCTGCCGGCACTGTGGCTCCATCTCCCCAATCTCCACAGGCCTGGGAGTGGGCACATGCTAACTGGCACACACAGGTAAGGACTTCCTTGATAAGCAGTGTCCAAAGCCAAGCCACCGAGATTGATGTGGATAATTGGCCACTGAGCTAGCAGTGACCAGGAATCCACTCCTGCATATCCCTTGTGCCCACTTGGTCCTGGGCACTGTGCAAAAGGTAACAAAGAGGGGGGGCGCAGACTTGGGTCTCCTCTATGGGGGTGTCAGGGACACAGGTGTGCAGGAACTATGGGCGTGCGGTGGGGGGGGGGGGGGTGGGCAAAGCCAGGACCCCACAGCAGCAAGGACCCTCATGGGAAGGCTCTGCAGTGTGGCAGGGCGCCTGGAGCTAGGGGCAGTCACCTGGTTGCTGGCTGTGGCCCCAGTCCACTGTGTGGCCTGGGATGGGCCAGCTTGGTTTCTTTTCCCAGCTGCATGAGATCCTTCTGGTGCAGCTCCTGCCCTGGTCCCTTCTGACTCCTGGCCCCGATGCTGCCTGAGCCTGGCCCCTGTGGGTTTGTGCAGACTTTGGAGCTGGTGGCTCCTGAGCCTAGCATGCACCTGGGGCCCTGGGACAGATGCCTGGGTTTCACCTCATCTTTGCTATGGTGACATCTGTATGTCATAGGAGGAAACAGGCTCAGATGGGCCAGGTCACTGATGACCAGGGCACTCCTTCCCATGGAAGTTTGTGTTCTTAGTCTGTCCCTAGGATCCAGCCTGAGGCCTTGGAATAACCCCAGCTGCCTTGCACTGTCCTACCCTGATGGCCGGCCGCGCTTGTCCTGCTTCTGGGCCCATCCCTCCAGGAGAGGACTGGCCCTGGCAGACAGAAACCAGGGCCTGACTCCCTGTCAGGAAGTAGGCACTGATTTGCACGAAGACAGCTGGGACAATGATGACAATTCTGACTGACGACACATGTCTTCGTCTGTTAGCCTGTGAGACAGGTTCTGTGTCACCTCATGGAGTCACCACATTGAGCTGACAGGGTGGCATCCATCGTGTCTCTGTTTTAGAGATGATAGTGGTGGAGCTTGGAGGATTTGGGGGTGGGGGGCAAGGCCTCCATCTCATCCCAGTTTATCTGATACGAGGTCAGGTCCTATCCAGGCCGGCACGACAAGGCACTCCGGCTGAACAAGAGAAAGACATCCCTGCGGTAGTGGGAATAGATTATGGTCAAATGGGGTCCCAGGCCTCCCCATGGCCACCCTCCTCATTTCAATGGGCAGCTG